ATTAGCAAGATCCCGCGGCCGAGGATCAAGGTTCGGTTTACCGAATTCGTCATTCAAATAAAAATCAAAAATATCTACTAAGCCTTTTTCCAGGTTCCAGGCGTAATTGGAATTCAGCGTGAGTCTTCTGGAATTGCGGATTCTACGGAACAAATCTAACTGCCGGCCTCGGTATTCCGCATACCTGACTGTCCTTAGTGCGCTTATGAGAGGATCCTATGGTGCATAAAGTTTAGCTCTCCGCTCAAATCAGCGTTCTTACGTTCAAACGCTTGATTTGTTCCAGGTGCGCCGGCTTTGCAATGGGACGGACATTAAAACGTGGCACTTGACTGAGCTCTTTTACGAAATAAGGCTTACTTATTAAGGATAGCGTTTGCTTTGGGCTATTTCATATGAGGAAGCGTATCCCTCCGCATCACTCCACGTTCGTAAATCTCTTCGCTCGCAACTTATGTAGCCTGATCCGTTCACTATGAACTCCTGAATAAGAATAGATTGAGGTACTTGGGGGATACCGAAAGTCGCCAAGAAGTTGTTAAGTAAGTGGTTGGGAGATTGCAGTCTCTAATGAGATCGGAATGAATTTAGTAATTGTCGTGGAATTCAAAAGGGAGGTCATTCTCTGATATAATTATAAAGGTAGGGGTCACCAGGCCTTCGTAGATGCTTGTAAGCTCCACTTTGCAAAAAGGCGCTGTTCTAATTGGCTGCCAAAGGACCGTCCCACGAAAGGTTTGACACTTGTCATCCCGAAGTGTACAATTGTTGAGACCCCTCAGGTATAACGCCCGCTGTTCCGAGGTAGACTTTCAATTTCCTGAGTAGGCGGGCATCGACATTATTGAAATTTACACACAACTCCGATCCTTTATGTTTCCAATTCTACTCCTCAAGACTAAAGATCTTTCAACCACACCTTTATCTATAAGCAGCAAAAGCAATGCAGAGTAAATTATAAAGCACTTTAGAGAGAGATCATGAAAACCTCGCAGAGTAACTACATGGCTAAGCGTATTGAAACACCACAATAACACAAGACATAAGCCAAAACAACGTTCACTCACGAGGGGTCCAGACGGGAAGCGCGCAACCACAGGGGAGAGGAGGCCGCTTTTCAGAGCAGAGCATTTCCAACTCCGACCCCTAAAACTCCGCCTCTCGCCTATGGCTAGAAACTTGCACTTTTAGCTTTGAGTTTTAATCGCGCTTCACATCTTACCCCTTTCGGAAAGTTCCGGTCCTCCGCAACTATTAATCAGATTCGTCATCAGACCACTGATAGTAGTAACGATCAGTGCTACGTCTGAATCTGCAAAGGAAAGTTGGATGATCATCACGGCGCCAGAATTTGGAACATCGCCGTCTTGATGGATAGGTGACTCCTTCATGGGGTTCAGCACATCTTCTGCACAGTTGGTACTCTAACACGATTTTAGACTTTGCCAGAAGGGTACGTCGGCGCCGCAGCGGTATGTTTTATGTGTGCTATTTCCGCACAATGCATTCTGCAATGCATCCAACTTTTGGATCGTTACCAGGTACTAAACGTTCATCGGCGTTGTAACACGCAGGAAGAGGCTCGAGTTCATTCGCCCTTCTCGCGAACACGTCGTCTTAGATGACGAAACCATAAATCTCTTCCTTCTTCTGGACGAGCGCCGGCGTCGAAATAAGGTGTGGAGGTCCTGATCTGTGGTCGTTCTGCAAATATTTTCTTGCAAGCGAGTTTTGGGATTGGCGTTCGGCGCGAATGCAGGTTCTAAGGGCGCTTCGTTTTGGCAACGGTCTTCAAAAGGATTGAGTATGGGCATCAACACCACGTCCTTGATCATCCTCGAGTTCAATGCGTTATTCAATGGGCAGGTCCGTGGGATACATCTGAGAATTTTCATAAGAATTAAAATACATTATTAGATTCAGATAATGCAATTATAGCAAACTACGCTTCATATCCAGCACATCTTCTGCACAGTTGATACTCTAGTACGAGTTTTAGACTTTGCCAGAAGGGTACGTCGGCGTGGCAGCGGTATGTTTTATGTGTGCTATTCCCGCATACAATGCATCCAACTCTTGGATCGTTACCAGGTACTAGCGTTCATCGGTGTTGAAGCACGCAGGAAGAGGCTCGAGCTCAGGTTCGCCCTTCTCGCGAGCACGTCGTCTTAGATGATAGAACCATAAAGCAATGAACCGGAGCATTTCCAACTCCTCTAAACCTCCGCCTCTCCCTATAGCTAAGTTTTATTTGCGCTTCACACAGAGAACTAGTATAATGTGGCCACCAAACGAAATCATTTTGCCTATCTCTATTGAATAAATACTAAGAAGGTGGGTAGGAATGCATTGAATGCGGATAAGGTGCATAGTCTGCACATTTCTTCCAATGGAATTTGGTGGAAGCCTTGTTGAAAGTCCAGCGAAGTATATGGACATTGTTTTGCACATAATCAAGCATATCTTGGATGTTTGGGAGTACAGACTGCCATGGCGTGGTGATTACGTTGAGTCCGCGGAAATCGATAGCGAAACGCCAACTACTGGACTCTCGCTTGCGAACTAATACAGTAGGGGCGCAGAAAGGTGATGTAGACTCTCAGATGTCCCTTCTCTCAACAATTGCATGACTTGCTTTTGTATCTCCACGCGTTTTTCCAAAGAAACATGGTAGACTTTCTGAGTGGTATAACACTTCCTTCTACGAGGTCAACCTGATGTCGAATTGCTCGTTATAATGTCCAAGTTTTGTATTGGGTCCAACAAAAGCGTTCGCACGTCTGCGAATGATTTCTTTGAGCTGATCCAACAGTGTCAATGGCAGCGCGCATTGAGAGAAGTCGTTTTTGGCGGTAATAACATAATGTATGTATCTACATTTTGTTTGGGCTTCTGCCTATCCAAAATAAATCTGAAATCCCTCAATAACAATTGTTCTTACACGTACACCAAGTCGATCAGTAATAGAGTAATAAAATAGCAGCTAAATATAGTAGTTAGTATTCGAGTACAGTATAGTATAGCAGACAGCAATCAGCAAGATTCGTAGTGGATGGCTTCAGATAGGAATAGCTGGATAGAGAAAAAGATTGACTGATTCAGACTGATGGCATCGTACATTACACGTAGCTTCGATACTCCTGCAATCTTCTAAACATATTAGAAGACGAAATCTATTAAGAACCGTGTGGGATGTTCGAATGTAAATAAAAAATTGTACTGGCACTTCAATAAAGTGGTTGTGAATGTTGGGAATATGAAATGGATGGTTTTCTATCGAAAAGCCAGCAAGAAATTTCAATGTTCAGATGAAAGAGACTGACTTTTTGCAATAATGACAGAAAAAGAAAACATAGAGAAAACCTTGCTTTCTAAGCTAATTATGTACTACTTTTTACTCCTAAACAAGCTTTCTTCTCAGTAATTGAAAAAAAAAATAAGTTTTGCAGCCCCTCTTTTCTTACTGAGGGAGTTCCAGAAAAGGTCTGTAAACACTTTTACCTGTCTGAGGGCAAGGACGAAACCGGGGTTTGCGATTATTTGCATATAAAGAATCAAAAGCATTTCTCTTTATTACTGGAGAAAACCAACAAGAGATTCTAGTTTCAGAAAAATTGACTACCCCCGACAGCCAGTTTGACTTCAGTAGTAAAATATCAGTAAGCTTCGAATGCAGAATAAGAAAAATGTGCATAAATATGCATAACTCAAATTCACCTCATACACATTGCCTATTCACGCTCTCCTTTATAACCCAAACATCTGCCACCCAAGGAGCATGCCATTGATTGCAAAATTATGAGATCCCCGTATGACCTCGACGATAGATTCACATTGTCTCAGCGGTTTTACCAGTTTACAAGGCCGAAGCTAAAATGTCGATGAATCTGCTGAGGATCGTAAACACTGAATGAGATTACGGTTGTAGCGAAATAAACATATAGATGATGCTGTTTAACCTCATTAAATGTTCAATTGCTTTGATTCTCAATAAGTTTGATGAGAAAAAAATTCTGTTCGTGTTAGGTACCGAAATCCGTTTCGTTTCTGCCCTTAAACGTAGTGAGAGTTTATAGACCTACCCTAGAACTGCTCAGTATGAAAGTCTGTCAATCTTATTTTGAGTACGTTTTTTTATAGTTTTTTGAATCAAATATTAGAACTAAGATTACATAAAGTACCCTCAGATGTTATTGAAAAGAATAACCATAATAATTTGTGTAAGAATATAATTTATGTAAGTTGAATCAACTTTAAAATGAAGTACGCTAAGTTTGTTAATTGTATGTTAAGCTCTGTCAAAAAATATCTTCTTCAAGGATTACTGTCTATGAATACGTGAATTAAGGCTAATGTAGCTGCATTATTTTACTTGGGACCTTGGCGTTTTGATCGAATTCTTCCTTATAAGGCAAAACGATTGAGGACAAAATTGTAGTGCGACATCCAAACCCGCTCCTTAGCTTTCAAAATGGCTAATCGATGTGCCTTTTGGGGCTTTTCGTTCAGCATTTCAAGTCTTTACCTAGATTTTCGACTTGATTCATAATTAATTCACCAAGTGTTCATATGTATTATAATCTGCACAAAGACATAATTTGACCTATGATTCAAAAAAGAAAGAAGAGACCACAAACAAATACTTATTTTTAGGTGTTAAAAAATATTTATTCATGAGATCATAGATGAACCAAAAAAGGAAAAGCAATGCCACCAGCAATTATCACAGATAAAGGATATCACAGACATCAGCGACAAAGAGAAATATAAGAATTGAAAGAAAGCAACCGAATCGATAAAATACGCTAGCCAAGGAAGTCAAAACATGACACAGCGGACAAAATTACCCATTTGATGGATGGTGCAGCATGCGCTCTCCTACCCCCTCCCCTAATCGCCTCTCCCCTCTTTTCCCTCCGATCGTTTACGCCACTCACATCGATAACGCAAACTAAAGTGCACTAGTCCTGAGATAAATTACACTGGAGCAGTTTCAGCATTTATTCCATCTTTGTCGCGACTTCTTCGGGCACGATAACACCAGTTGCTTGCGTTTCGTCTACGGTTAGCACATCTGGCTTCAGGATACGGTATCCCTAGAAAAAAACTGACTGAATATACATTTGGATTGCAATTTGCGACAAATTCGTTGTCTACGTTACATGCTAACAAAATGACAAGAATTTCCATGAATTTCTTACCGTTTTCAGATTTTTCTTCGAACTGTTCAGAGTAGATATTCAAATGCTACAATCAGTATTCGATGCAGAATTTTTTCCCATTCTAGCAGTGATTTTTTGTTCTAAGATCTTTGACGTTCGCTCGAATAATCTTCAAAACCCATAATTTTTACCTACCCTTACTTTAGCTATATTTCACAAAATTTTATTTCTAACTGACTGTTGTATAGAGTAAAATGAAAAACAATGAATTTTTTGTTGCTAAAAAAATTTTTTCAAAAGTCTTCATTACTGCGAAAACTTACAATACAAACGCTTCAAACACTGATGAAGCTTCGTAATTTAAAAATTCCAAAAGTCGTTTATGATTAAATACCAAGTTAACAAAGCATATGAGTGTTTACCGCTTCGGAATAATGGATCTCGAATTTTTCGAGCAATTGGGTGCGCTCACAAACTATAATCCTATGATTTTATCCTCGCAACCCTCACGAATCAGGGAGATTAAACGTTGATCAGATTAGGAGAACAATCTACATCGAATAACTCCTAAGTTGCTCGCTTTGGATTAAGGTTTGGGATGATTATATATGAAAAGTGGTAGCACCAGAAGAATCATCCCAAAAATTTGGAAGATCCAGTTATGAAAGCCAGAATGAATTGTCTTGCATTTTGTTTACTGGACTGTGATTAAGGCTCTTCCAAAAGTTATAAATGAAAATTGCAAGATAGCTAAAGCAAGGTCAGGTAAAATCATGGGTTCGAGGTGCTGACGATTACTGACCGAGAAGTAAAGGGATTGGAAGAGGAACGCAACTGGCAGGAAGAGAAAAAAATTCTGCCTCGAACACTGTCTCGAGCGTTCGTCTACCTTTTTTATGAACGATCTTAGGATAGGTCTCAAAAACGGCACAAACTTCAGGATTGACCTAAGATGATCACATTGTCTATTCTGTAAAGAAAGCTGTGGTTCAGATATTCTCAAAAAATCAAGCGAAAGTTGCAAGGAAATTCAAAGTTAACAGTTTTTAAAGTCTTCATTTCTCAGATATTCGACTGAGCATTGCAGCATATGTTTTCAAGGAGACATGGCTTATGTCACAGCGTTTGGAGAAACATTTCTGCCCTTCCGCTCCCGCATGAAAATTTAGATATTCCCAGTGACGGGAACAACATTAAACATATGATTCCGATAACCTTCCTATAACTTTCATGCGCAAAATTGTCATTAGCAGAAAAAAATGCGAGTAACACTTTCGAACTAAATTTGGGATAAAAATGAATGTACAAAGTTCTGTTTTTTTTCTACCAGTTCAAAGTAAGAAGAATTTGACCCAATGCATATATTTTTATTATTTATAATAACACTCGCGAAACCTTTCCTTACTACATTGCTAGAAAAACCTATGGATTCTTTTATTTCGTCCATGGGTACAGCAATGAATCTACTGATTTTCAAATTGAAGATTGAAACTTTTTATTTTTGGTGATTTCTCATAATGATTAAAAATTCCAGGAAAATATTCAAATTTTAAGATTTCAAAAATGGATGATTACAACCTTGTGGTCATTCCAGAGCTGTAATGGTGTGTACATCGTAGTTTTCGTTTTCTCAGCTGCTATCAATCTCAGCCTAGCAAACATCGGATTGTTTACCTCAGCAACACCTAAAGTTTTCTTCTCGATTGCAGTAGAAAGCATGGATTCGCAGATCTTACCAGACACCCAGTCCCAATCGCGTTTTGTCCAATCTTTCTGTGTGAAGAAAGCTCTGGCATTGCGTTCGGCTAGTTGAGATGCATGTTCCTGAAAGCAATAAGGTGAAAAAGTAAAAGGCCAAACTTTCCTTGAGGTCCTAGGATTTCCCAAAATTTGAATTCTGGAACTTTTTTTTGCATGAACTTGAATATAACCCTAATCGAAGTGAACTTTCTTTTACTTGAAAAATATGAGTTATAGATCTATTTATTCAAGACTTACTTTGGCCACCTGTTCAAATTTGCTAATTTCCTCCATTTTGTAGGTTTCCACATATTGGTGCTGTACGTAAGTGTATTTATCACACATTCTCACGCAGCAAATTACTGAAATTATCGAATAGACTACAGATGTGATGATTCTTTACTTACCCAAAAATAACGAAATCCCAAAAAGAATAAGAATGAACCAAGCGTAGATCTGCGATTCAGCTTCCAGATAAGACGCATCTTGTCCATCCAAGGCGCAGATACACGGAGGGCAATACTAATAAAATAAGGTAAAATACAGTTGCATGTTCTTTTAGAAATGACATGAACACGCATCTATCGCTTCGCGGGAACTTTTGTTTAAAATAATTCATACGCAATGTATAGGAAATTTGCAAAAAAAATACACTGAATATTCTTAAATTCGCTGAGACTCTTTTAAGCTACTTTTACTCTGAATTACTTCCTCAATTTAGTAGATGACGATTCATCGCCATTTCTGGAATTATCTGAGGGAGTAATTCAGCGTTGTTATTTATCGTTATTGCCTAGGTAAAACTTTTTTTAGACTTGACATACACATGTAACCTTTGTAGAGCAATGATAGAAAAACCATGCTCACCTTTCGCCCACCGGTGATTTTTTCAAAATCAGGCATATGTATGTAATTTTCCATCACGGTCTCATTTTTACATAGTCTTGCTGTTTCAAAGCCGCAGTGATCATGTGCGAATAAACAGCGGTAATAACTGTAAACAGATTTTTTTACAATTTGAAAAAAGCTACACAAAATAAAGAAAAAGCAGTATGTGTAAAACTGTTGAGACCAAGATTTTTTTAAAATAGGGTGAAAATTCACCCGCCATCCAAAAAAACGACAAAAAGCCAAGCTGTAGGTGCGATGAGACACTGAGCAAAGATTTGCGACCAGGAAGCGATTAGTGTAGACCATGTGTGACGGGTTTCAAAAGCTCTGAAAGTTCAGTATTTTCTATGGTTAGAATAAAAATCATGTCTCTATACAGTCTCCAAGAACATTTTTGTTCTCAGGTCGAACTTTTCTGAGGTCGTATATTGAATATTTCCTAAAATGAGGTTCTCAGCAATTTTGTCACACTCTTAAAATCACACAATCGATCATTGATCATGATAATGTAAGCCCACAACTTCTTTAGTCATCAAAGAACTGCATTTTCGAGCGCATATAGTAGATCAGATAACATAACGAGAATAACGTGAATTTTCAACGATTGTATTCCTCTTGAAACAGGAAAAAAATGTAAACTATTCTGCATAGGCCACGATTTTCCCTGATTTCTTCTTTAAACTTGACTTTTTACTCGTTCAAACCACATCAAATTTCATTTTGCGAGAACAGCAAGATTCTTTTTTTTGATAAAAAAGGGTTTTTTTCCTGATCAAAAGACGTGGTCAAAAAGTCTGAAAAAGTCAAAACTCCCAAATATGAGGAATAATTACTGAGAAATCGTACATTTTCTGTATCTGATAGGTATTTATAATCAACAAACACCCAAAATAAAGGAAGGCATTACCTTATTAATAGAAGAGTAACTGCAATAATATTATAAAACCCACTGCTCCCCAAAATCTGTTAATTATTCTACTCGAATCTGAATATTCATTTCTCCTTAAAACTGCAGAAGCATTTTACGTTTCAGGGCGTCTACATATTACACATGCTATGGTCGGAGTGGTCGAACGAGAGATTTTCTGCCGGGCTGTGGTGATGTGAAGATAAATGTGGTTAGGCTGTATAATCACAAAAAAATAACCTGAAAAATGTCCCGTGCAGAATTTTCCATGTGGTTGTATTCAGCATGACACCAATGATGAATAGCGCCAGCGATGGTCCAAACATGAATACCAAAGAGTGAAACACATTCAGTGGATATGCGCATGGACATGAGAATGTCAATTTTCGAATTATCTGGAAAGCGTTTATATTTTGAGTTATCAGATTAGCTTATAAATAAGTTCAGTCGCTTTTGAGGCTCTTACAAATGCTGCAGACAAATTTTTGCCCAGTTCTAGGAAGAGCACTTCAATGGGAATTGGAGTATAAATTCTGTTTAGTTAGAACCTACCTTCAAAAGAAAATCCGCAAAGAATTGAGGAACCCTAATTTTCTCATAGTGCGCAAATACAAGGAAATTTTTTTTTTGATAAAAGATTTTCAAAGTGGCGGATCACAATTTTCAATGTTATTCAGTGATTAGGGGAAACTTCTGTATCCAAACACCGAACTGCTGTTTAATAAATTAATTTTAAAAAATTAAACTCATTAGATTCAATTGATCTATGGCAGTTCGCCAGTTTCGCAGCTGAATTACCATTCCATACAGCTAATAATTTTCATTGATTATTTCCATGTGTTTTTAGAATTAAATTAATAATTCCAAAAATCGTAATATAATAATAATAATAATTTGAACACAACTGATTTCTGATCAGAGTTGAAATAAAGAGTTCCAGACTTGTAAAGGAACACTATAAGGGGAGAAAAATTAGCGAATAATGGCTGTGCTGAGATAGAGCAGAAGTAGAAGGAAGAAGGATGGTAAATTAAATTAAATAAATTATTGGTTTGAACTATTTTTGAGGCTTCTTAGAAGTGTCTATCTTTAAACAGCGCTACCAAAATTTTCCTTGCCCAAATATTAGACTGAGGAAGGGGGAGGGGAAAGAAGTTTTGCATCCTAACTCTTCACATACCGATTGCCCTCCAATGGTTGAAACAATGAGGATAGCATTTAGAAGTGTTGATCCATGATTAGAAAATAGATTTTGAAACACTGTGATCACTGAATTCGCGTTGGACATTTTCCTGGAATATGAAAAATGAAAATTCCTCAGTCTTCATTAGGCACCCTAGTTTAACTAATTTTCAACTCTTAAGAAATTGGCAAAGAGTTTTTTTGATAAAATTTTACGATACGGCAGCGATTAGGTTCTTAAAATAAATGAGTATAATGACAAGGCAAACGTTATAAGTGTTGCCAGGCAACGTCTCTCGAACAATGTATACGACAGCTCACCTGGGAACCATCGTGGAATTCTGTACTATTCACAAGCAGTCGTTTTTATTCTGGTCGAGCTATACCCCCGATGTTTCTTCTTAGTCATCATCCATAAGCTATGGGAAACCAAACGATAAAGGTGTAAAATGCTGAAAAATCCAGCATTATGCCGTCTTACGATACTGAGTATTCCATCAGTTTCAATAATGCTAAATTCAAAAAATTCATATTTCTTTACCTGCATGTAAATGGTTTGAAACAGAGATTGCTCGCTCAGTGAATTTTCAAAAAGCAGCCGTCCGTCCAGTTATCTCCAATTCCATCGATTACCAGGCAGATCAGGATAGCCAGAAGCCAAAACTGAATGCTGAGCATTCATGTCATATTAATTTCGTAGTGCCCAATTTCAAGATATAATTCTGCCCTTCCCTTTCGTTAATTGGTTGTCATTGTAATAGGAAATATTTAGCAATGCCTAAAATCACTAAAAGTATACAAATGTTTTTTTTCAACAGCAAATAACAATTGTTCATACGGGATAAAGTTCTGTGGAGATCGAGTTTATGATTCCAAGGGCATCTGTTAGACTCAAGGTACATATTATCCTCAGGTAGCATGCTAGTAAAAATTATGATTCCGAAACATAAACTGTTTTGCGGAATACCAGTCTCCAATTTTTCCCGGAAATCTTTACCAATTTTAGAATTACAACGAAGCACTCCGACTCAAAATGCTTACAGAACCGAACAAATCAGTAGGACTGATTAGTCAACTCCGTTTGCTTAGAATGTTTTCTCTGTTGAGAAAAGGCACAAAGAAATGAGATAAAGATTTTTCATTGTGCGCAAATGTAAGGAAATTTTTTATTTTCAGATTAAAGAATTTCCAAATTGCAGATCGCAATTTTTATTGTTGCTCGCCAACCAGAAAACATTTTTGGTTATCCTAACAGAATTGCTCATCTCTATATTCGTTACAGCGTAAGCTTGGAAAGTCGAAGAACTGAATTTTTGAAAATTTATCCTTATTGGGGCATAACTGTCCCATATTGATAGTACAAAATTTTGAAATTCTATGTGATGAGAGAAGCTTCAATCTACTTTCCTTCAAGAATCATGGAGAAAACCAACAAGAAAAGCTCTTATGCAGATTTGCATGCCAAAACGAAATTATTCTGCCAACCTAATATCAACCTTGCTTACAATATCATTCACCTCTCTCATTTCAGAGCAATAATCGCGACATCGTGTTTTTCACCTTGTCACCCATCGCCATGTGCATTCCATTCATTGTCACACATCATGATACATATTCTGGAATTTATACAAAAAAATACAGTGTCTGTCATATAGTCATTCGAAATGTTCATATTTCGAATGCATTCTTGGCATAAATAAGTAGATCCCGACAAAACTGCGCCCAAATTATCTCTGCATAGATGGTCACAGGTGCAGATAGTTTTGCCATAAGCCAAGCAAAAAATGAGATTGTACGACCTGGCAAGGAAAATGGCATGCCGATTTCAGTCCTGCTAGTTCCTTGTTCTATAAAAAAAATTAGCAGAAATCTTGGTATAGCAGTTATTAGTCCATTAAAGACCTACACGTAAAGTAAACTCTAGCCAGCACCCCATTTTTGAGGGAATTTTAAATTTTCTGCAAATGTCTGGAAGGATTTTTTTCTTGGCACACACCTACTAATGACCATAGCTTTTACTCACCTATGTACTATCGCTTGTCATGAAATTTCAGGTCCACATAGTAACTATTAGGAATTTGTATTAATTGTAGAGGACACCTTATAAATTTATTTCATTCCTCTCTCCTCTGGAAGTTCTGGAAGATATAAATGTGAGAAACACGATGTTAAAACGACACTACTAAGTCAGTCACATCTACTCATTTTATTTGTCTACCAAATAGTCGATTATGGCGTGAATAGGAAATTCTGCAGAACTTTCTTGAAGATCTCCTGAAGAGTAACCGATTCAAATACGTGCATTTTTCTTCAAAAATTTTATTCAAACACTGACTTTCAAGAATATAATTTCCAAAAGCTTCATTGTACATGTCTACATAGAAGATGATACAAAATGTTCAATGACATGAAAAACATGAGATAATCTTCATTCTTCAGATCAATTTCCCCCAAATTTTGTAGAGGTTCTGAGTTTTTATCAAATTAACAAAATTTCTAGAAGTGATAATTTTTCAGGAAATATATTTGATCAAAAATTCAGTTCAAACAATGACAACTATCAACTAGAGAGTGCATTACTGATCGACTTTCTAGAAAAGGTATAGCAAAGAATCGAGAAGCTTCGACGAGGTCCGTTCCGGGATAATGAAGTGGATAGTAGAAAGGAAGAAATCAAATCTATGTTTTGTGAATAACCGCATGTTCTTATGAGACAGATTGTTGTTTCTTCCTTTGTGGGGTCCTAGACGATGAGTTAGAAGATGGTGTTACAGTTGATCGTCGTCTTGGCTGAAATTGGGGAAAATTGTTGCGCTAGGTTGTACCATGGGTTCCAATTGTTGAAATCCAAAGAAGAGACAAGCTCAAAAAAGCAATTTTCCCGCAATTTTCACGAGTCAAAGAAAAGTTGCCATCTAGTCGTAATTACGACATTCAGCATTATTTCGCTGTTTAAACGAAGTTCGAGAGACACAAAATCATGTGTTTTGTAAATGAAAAAAACTTACGTCGTCCGGTCGACTTCTCCGGAGATGTACTCGCGAACTATCTAGCCGTGGATCCATCTAGGGAAGATTTAGCGATAATCTCTAAAAAACCGCCCAGGAAAGAACTTACTATGTACATGCATTCGTCGATAGTCGCATGGAACATTTCTTTCGCATAGAAGTTCACATCATGGCCAGTACTATTGAACATAGCGGCATTTGCAAACATTAGCAACATTCTACAATATTTGATATGGAGTGCAGTAATCGAGAAGGCACTTTCAACGAATTCATAGCATAGAAAAATTAAAAAAAAAACGAGTTTACCTCAGCGTAAAAGCATCTACAGCTGAAATTAGTCCCGAGTCAGTTTCCCGCTTCAGGGTCGTCAGATCCACAGGACTGAGAAAACATAATGTGCATTGCATGAGATAAATGAATACAAATTACCAGAATACAGCACGACTATAACCAGGTGCATCTCTGTCTGTCACGGGATGTAGGAAGATCGCTGAGTGCCTGTGCTCATGAAGTGTATTCCACATAGAAAGCATCCGCCCCTAAAAAAGGAAATCTATGAATTCTGACATTTTGTGTGACTCTTGTGCTTTCAGGAACAAACCTTAGGAGTTGGAGCCGAGCCAGAGGTTTTCTCTTCTTTACGTAATCGCTTTGGTGGAGACCCTATCAACGACAAACTTCCTATCTCGCCTGGGCTATGATTCAGTACGAAGTCTCGGACAGCTGAAATGTTTTTTTAAATCTAACTGTACAGCTTTCTGATGCTACAAGTTCCTGGACAAGCTCGCTTGTGGCTTGAGTGATTTCAGCTTATGATGGATGTACTAATTTGGACCAAAGAAAAGACAAACCTTGCGGATCACTAAAGCCACATGCAACGACATTCCATACATGCACTTGCTCTTCCAGTGATGTCGCTGACTCCATCCTCTTTGAAGGATATTTCTAGAAAATGAGGTTCTGATCCTAATATAAAGATGTCGACCATATGCGAGAGAAAGATTCTAAGTTTTTCCATGTTACGAAAACCACTAACTTTTTTGAACGATCCATCTAGTACATCATCCCACGATACGATACGTGAGGTCTGATCATTTGTACAGTGAGCCGATCTTAACACTTCCTTCTCCTCTTTTACTGTGACATGTACTTGCGAATTTAATGGAGGTGCAAAGAGCATATCACTCAAGGGATACCCAACAACAACCTGTGAAATCATCTCGTAAGCAATAAGAAATGGCTAGTATCAAAAAAGTGCAAGAGGTTTTGTATACTCACATTATCTTCCAACTCGATTCTTACAGCTTCGGTCTGCACCTCGGTGTCACAACGAGATGACGACGAAGAGGACTGCGTTGTAGATGTTGAGGGTGTAGATATCGCTGCGCTTCTGCGATCAGATCGCGAAGACTTGCGAGACTGAAAAATACTTGTTTACATCGAATCAGCCGTAACAGTCAATTTACCGTTGAAGCGTCGCTCTCGGACCATAGTGGCATTCGAATAGAGAGCGCAGTCTGCACTCCAAAGCCGCCAAATTCATCTACTACGACCTCTGTGGACGGAAGGGCCACGCTACTTTCTCGGCTTTGGCTTCTGAATGGCATGGATAGGGAAAGAGTGTAGCCACCAAGAAGTTTCAACAATGCTTACAAAACAGAACACAAGCAAAATCTGTACCAATTGACGAAATAAGTATTTCCAAACAGATCGAATTAGATATCGAAAAAAAACTAAGTTTCAATTATCTAACAAACCCTTACCTTTTCGCATCCTCCCTGACATCCTCTCTCTTCACATCAGCTCCAGCACTACTACGCGCACTCGACTTAGTCACCAAGGGAGATTCAACGGCTACAGGACGCCGAGCACCTCTTACACGCCTTCAACAAATCAAATCAATCAAACACAAAAAAAAACAGGAATATATCAGCATTTACCCTGCCGGGCTATCCACAACATGGATAGACGACTCTTTTTCAGTTGCGCTTTGTGCCTTCTCAGGTTCGTTACGAGCACTGCTACGACGGGTCTCAGTACGAGTTGGTGCCGTTTTCGGCTCGTCAATAGAGGTAGCAGGGGATGCATCCCGTATTGGTGTGGACGAATCTCTGACAAACTGGCCGGAATTCTGGAGCAAAAGCATTTTCGCAACACGATGAATTTCACGTAAAACAGAAAGCTAGAATGAGGAACACCTTCTTTGGTGGCCTTCCACGTCGTCTTGAATGATAATCCTTATCCTTGGGATCAAGGCCTTCATCACCAGCCTTCATCTCATCGACTTCCATAGGTTCAGGCTTAAGTTATGCAATCACAGTGAGAATGATTGCAAAATGAAGAGAATTTTTTTCCGTGATAAGAAAGATGAAATTAGAAGCAGCGAAGTGCTAAAAATAAGACTTACCTGATCTTCCTCAGCTTTCGCTGTAGTCTGGTGCTCTTCAGAATCCACAGTAGACTGTCCAGGTGATTTGAGCGGTGAGCTAACCTCATAATGGCAATATATAATCTTTCTGTACATATCAATACCAACACAAACCTCCCAGGCGAAGGCGATCTAAACGCTGTCTTCGGACCCAGCGGTGACTGATCTGGAGGTCTTGTCGGAGGCAGCCGCCCGGTCATGCGCGAAGTTGACTAAAAAATTTATCATATTGGATGGAACAAAAAAGCAGAACTAAGTTCGAAAACTCACCACATCGCCCCTATTTTGATCAGCCTTCTTCAAGTAATCTATACATATGGTAGCATACAGTTCTCGAAATTCCTTCTCATCTTCGTCGTATTCAATCTGAACGCAGTTTCGTAGAAAAAAAGGAATTTAGGAAACTTTAATTAAAACTTACCGCCTCATCCTCTCTGACAACATCATCGTGCATTTTCTCGTATTGCTCATCAGTGAGCGTATCGCGCATCGCTTGTAAATTGGCTATTCGTTCCATCTAAAAACATTTCTACAAAAAGTATGACAAAAAATCGAAATTGCGAAAAATCTTACCCAGTAGCGTATTTTGACATTTTGCAATTCCTCGTATTGCTCGGCATCTTTCTTGTCCTGCAATATCTCATTGAGCATATGAAAATATGCATAAATAGCATATGCAAAAAAATAAAATGCAAAAAATATGCAAAACTAGCATATGAAAATTCTTTATATGGTAGATGAGATACAACCTCTTCCCAAAAATGCGCTAGCCATGCTTCAACTACCGCCATCCGACTATATTCTGCCCCTGTCGGTACATCAGATGGGCAAGGTTCAGACATTATACGTTCAAACTCAGCTTTACACATCTAGAACACATTCAGAATGTGACAACCTGACAAGACATGTGGTAAAGTAACCAACTTCAGGCGTAAAAAATCCTTTGGGGCGACCTTCTACTCTTTGCCGTCGTGTAGCGTCCATTTCTTCTGCTGCTCGAACATGCCTGGGATGAAAGGAAAAATCAATTTTTGGCAAAAAAGCAGAACCCGCAGGTCCAGTGTTATCTACAAGATCCGAAGAAAGACGACTACAAGAGCTCAACCTTGCTGCCATGTTGATTTTTAGAGTTCTAGCATGTATAAATTTTCTTTCGCACTATCGGATGCCTTTTCTGCGTAAGCTTAGACATTTGGAAAATTATGAAGGTACATGAACATACCAATTTTCTTTCGAATCTGCTTTGTAGAACTGGAACAATGTCAGATGTTCCAAATTTGACCATGGTTTCACAGTCAACGAAGACATCTCTAATACCTACTCGTTATAAACATTTCAACATGGATACCAGTAAGTAGAAAGACAAAATTCATCTCCCAACCCTTTATGAAAATCGTTCCGGACGTCAGCACAGTGGGGACTGCAGCCCATGATATTGTACAGTCAAACATTATTTAATTTTTTTATTTCAAAGAAAACGCACGAAATCACCATGAATAATATACACAATTATACTCTGTAAAAACAGAGTTTCTACACAATCGGAAAAAATCAGTAGGAAAATGAAGGCGAAGGCAGGTGCACAAAGAAAAAGCAAAGACACTTTGAGGAGGGATTATTTTCATCAAAAACACACTGATTGATGATGATTAAACTCTTCCGAAACTACTCGAAAATCTCTACAACTACTTTACTTCACGAAAGAAAGACAAGATAGATAAGAACAGTATCAGGAAAAATCGCAACATCAACCATTCTACCGTTTCAGTGATTCTCCTACACCAGCAATCTCCGTCGTCGGATCTCAGCCATGAGACAGTCATACAGCTCGCGAGCTCCATTAGGGTAGACAGCATCATTCTCATGGAACCTAAAATTGCTGCATTTTCTAGCCTTACTCATTTTATAATATCCATTCAATAAATGACCGGATCGAGAATGACCTGTAGACCACCAAGCTGCTCATGCAAGAATACAGATACGTACCTCTGTTCAGCACCACCTGGTTGGGCACGGTAGACAAACTTCGACTTTGAAACGCTGGATACTCTGAGATATCGTCCGTCTGGCGATTCTACACTGCATACTTCACTGTTTTTATTCTGTAAACAAACTTTGAGACCAAATCATTTTAGTAATCCCTCTCGTGACCAATTTCTCGGACCCAACATTGATGTGAGTGCGCATCAGCCGATGACAGAACAATCTTGATTCTTATAGGCTATCAAGAACGATTTGGTCACTGCGGCGCCAGCGACAATATAACGTCTGCGAACGCCATTAGAAAGATACACTTACGATCTTAAACTTCATTGTTTCGTGAAGTGCTCTAGGAGAGTCTACAGACGACTTTCTATAAGCAGCGATAGTTGCTGGTGCAGATCGCTGTGTCATCAGCGACTGAAAAATATCTTTGTAGCAAAAGTCTAATCAACAGATGAAGAATTTCGGTATAAGATACAGAAGACATTTCCGAGCATGGAAAAAACACAAAGATTTCATCAAGATCTGCTTACTAACCTGGGATTGCCCATTCTTGACTGCAAGTGGAGCACGAATCTCTGACATTGTTGACGCTCTTGGAGACCCATAATCTCTGAGCGGAGCAGAAGTTTGGAAAGTTCAAAAGAACCGAGTGATATTTGATCTAATATATAAAGATTTGAATGAAAAATGATGCTATGGTCTCCCATGGGAAGCAAGCATATGAAGAAGCACATTCAGGCGTGATATTCACTTCATTTCTTATTAACCCAGTACTAACCCAAGTTTTGTAAAGAAACTATGAACGTAAGAGTCATAGACTGAGAAAGTTGAAAGCGAAAAGAAAATAGCAAAATGGAAACACTAAAGAAAGATTCAAGTACGCGAAAGGAAGAAAATTCGATGAAATAATAATAAAATGATAGCTCACTTCGAGATGGAAAACGTTAGTGGGAAGCGACCGATCTGCTGCTCCCAAATGTTCTCCACTTGCTTCAAAAATCCATGTACTTCGTCAAATCGATCCAGTATTTCTGCTGCAATAACAATGGGTGCAATTTCAGCGAATAGGCAATGAAATAAAAGTCACTGACAATCCCTAACATCCTCCTTTTTCCCGTCAGGAAAGTGCATTTGAACATCTTTTGATGAGGGTTTTTGTACAAGTCGGCGCTCTGTGTACAACATTTCATTGAACATTACAATTTCTAATGCGTAAAGCGATTCGAACTTACGATCACGGAAAACAATGCGAAATGTGCCATTCTCCATTATTTTTGCAACAGCGGATGGAAACTGAGTTGGGCGTTGATACACTACCTGTAGAAGTTATCTACTAAGGCAAAACAAAACCCCTGCAAGATCACTTCAAAGAAAACTATGAAATCATGCTGTAAGTAAGTGATGTCATGGACAACTCACCTTATCTATGCGTCCTCTCATAACATCTACGGCGTTAGCAATCTGCGCATAAACGTCACGCTCATGACGGTTCAAAGATGAGTAGCTGCAACATATGTTGGATTATTTAAGCAGCTTTCTCTTTTGATTTTAATCTGAAACAAGAAAAGGGCACTGGATTAACTATGCTTGCATTCCACATAGGCTATAAATGCAAACATTTACAAAGCTAATCATTCCAACTTCTTTGTAGGCACTATATGAAATCCACTAGCAAAGCCGCCGCTAAATGGAAATGTTTGAAGTAACCTTCTTGCACAACCAAGTGATTCTTTTTCTCCCCAAAATCTTACAGTAAGAATTTCATCCCTGCGCGCAAAATTGATAAAGGGGCGAACAAACAGAAGATGTCGCTCTCTCAAATACACCGCAATTACAATCCTCTGAACACAAACGCCTTCAATAGCGACAGAAGAGATCACACTATAAAAGCACCATAAAATACATGAAACCTCTTCGCTCCTCACACCGTCTAGTGCGACTAGAAAACTGAAAGCCTATGGGCGGTGCTCCCCATGCCAGTCTATAAAGATAGAAATACACAACATGAACTGATGCTATTCCTGAACGATTTCGAATTCTGGAACAATGTCGATACTCTTCGCAGATTCTCCTTTTTCGGGATTTGCTTCAGGTTTGCTTGAGTATGATGTAACGCATCGCTAACACTTTGATGTATAAGCGTTTCTCAAACTAAGATTAATCGCTTCTATGTCAAGCGTCTAAAAAATGCATGACAGAGGACAAGGTTTTGTGTACTTCTGTCATTCCTTTTTTTTCCTGCTGCCAAGCATCACCTAGTCTTATGACCTTCATCTTTCAGTACTGTAGCCGCTTTAACATGCGTCTTCGTGATCTCGACTATCTACAACTACATGCAGTACACACAAACAGATTTAGTAGCTGAGGTAGAGTTGTGTCAAGAGTAAAAACTCGATGTAATCGATATAATTGCTCTATCGTTTCCAGGTCGACTTCTGCCGACAGCGATACAGCGGCTTAATCACGCAATTCACAAGAGCGCAAACTGGGAAGTATTCCAAGTCCGGAACGAAGAGACAAGCATATGACTTTGACCTTTCAGGTAACTGTACATTTTACATTACATTAAGTATTTTACAATAGTAGCAGCATAAGATATATTTTAGAGGAGGGCTTTCTTCCAACCACTGATGTGCCAGTTTCTTCGAGAAATGGCTGTTGTGCATGCAAAAAGGGACCAATGGGGCCTCCAGGTCCACCTGGTCCAGACGGAGCTGATGGATTTGATGGTACACCGGGCAGTGACGGAGAGCGTGGTGTGGATGCTGGTTTGAATGATGTCCCGACAGCAGCAGATTTCTGTTTTGACTGCCCAACGGGTCTGCCAGGGGCACCGGGAAAGGTTGGACAAAAAGGACGAGAAGGCAGACCAGGAAATGTCGGTCCGCCAGGAGCTGCAGGAGTGCCTGGAAGACCTGGCAGAACTGGCGTTCCAGGCAGACCTGGCGCCGATGGGAAACCAGGTCCGCCCGGAGCACCAGGCCCAGATGGAATATGCGAAGATGTTGACGTACCACCAGGACCACCAGGACCAATGGGACCTCCTGGACCTCAGGGCAAACGAGGGCCTGCAGGGATACCGGGCACCCCTGGAGCAGACGGACCTCAAGGACCACCCGGAGATCCTGGGAGAGATGGTTATCCAGGTGAACCCGGCATACAAGGACCTCCGGGAGTTTCAGGAGAGATCGGTAGAAATGGAGGATGTGAACATTGCCCACCACCACGAACTGCGCCAGGTTATTGATAATTTGTTGCAATTTCTACATAAGAAATAAAGTAAGAGGCTTCAGTAAAACGAAAAAGAAAATTCTCAATCTTTTACCTGGTAAGTGGTGCCACATCTCGTCCTCGTGCTACAGGTAACAATGGATCGTGTTCTAGCGACCGCTTCACGTTGGACTGCAGCGGTTTATCAAATGTTATCTGTAAAAAAAGTAGACAAAGTGAAAGACTTAAGAAAAATAGAGAGACTCATAAGCTGCACTTTGCTTGAACCATAAGGGAGTAAACTTAATGTTTTGGAGCGTACCTGTTGTTTTCTGCGAGCTCCAATGGATACTTCTACAATTTTTGTGATGAAACCGCTTTTGCTGGCCATCTCGAAGATCAGCGTTTGGTCATCAACGATTACGTACTGAATGCAGATTCATTTCATATACTTAACGAAAAACAAAAAGTTTCTCACTCTTCCTGCTGCCGTTACCAGCCTCGTTCCACCACATCTATGTAATGGCAAAGGCCAGGACGGTTCCTCTTTAGTATCCGAATCTCTTGTTGTTCCCACACGAGGAAGAAGATTTCGTGATTCAGCACGACCAGTATTGCGCTGAAAGGCAGACTTTCACCCTTGCGATCTGGTGAGAAGTGCACTTACGTCTCCACAACTTCTGCTGCCAAAACCACTGTCTCCTCCAGCTGTTGTGACTCTTCTGCCAACAGAAGGCGGAGGGTTGCTGGCGGCTCTGCGTGGTCTTGGTTCGTCCCTGCCGATCTACAACAGTCTTTGAGCGCGTTCAAAAGGCGGAATGATAGTAGCTTTTCTTCATTACAATAACATGTTGCATTGTATCAAAAATCAAAAGATATGTTTTGGAAAAGTATTATGACCAGGCAGCTACTGCCTTATGGTCACTTTGAAACAAACAAATGATGTAGAAGAGCGGAATCGCATCTTTTCCAAAACCCCTAAATTCCAAAAAATAAAAAATTGAAGTTTTTCCCCATTGTCGAATCATACTAATTACGGCCCTCCAAGAGTTCTGCAGAACCACTGCATGTTGCATGCACTATCATGGACAAGATGATCGAGCAAATCAATGTTTAAAGGCAGCGTCCGGGCAGATACGAAAATGTAGAGTACAGGGGCGTTCATCCTGGTAAGGCTCTTGCCAACTGGCTATGCGCCAATTTGCTTCTGAAGCGAGAAATCCGCTTCAGATGCGGCGACCGGGACAAGTCAGTTTGATAAGCCAGAGTGCGCATACCGCACACAGTCAAGACGTAGGGCGTCTGAACCTTCGCGGCAGGCGACAAAATTCAAATCAAGAGCTTCTAAGAAAGCCGGCCTTTTCGTGCCCTCCAAGCTGCATTTTCAGAATCAGCGAGGAACAAGCCCAGATAAGCGGAAAAAATTCCATTCCAAATTTTGCCTGGACGCTGCCTTTAAGAACGACATAAAAAAAAATTAAAAGTGACATAGAGGTGTAGATAGAAACCATACGATGAATGAAAAGAATTATCGCATTTACTAGAAGCGAACCAACTTCATGACTCCTATCGTGCGCACTCCGTCGTTCCCTTGAATCTCGAGAACGCCGTCGTTCATGTGACCAGACAGTACCAGCTCGATCACCTGTTGCTGACCAGTCGCGAGAGATGGAAGCACCTTCGCAATAATCCACCATGAAGTTCGACCGCTGGATCTCTGGAAGAATTGTAATGGCAAGTCATTCAAAAGAGCCAACCATGTACAAACCATTCAAAGCGATGCGCTTCGAAGCGTCTTCTTCCATCATGCTTTCGATTAGTTCAATGGCAGATAAGCCAAGACCGTCAAAACGCATAGCACCTATAATGAAAGCTGTAAAATGACATACATGACTAGAGTAAATTTACGACACAAAAATATCCAGTACCCCTACAACCTAGAGTATACTGTAGCAAAAAAAATTCAACCGCTACTACTGCAACTGGGTGCATTCCGTAAAGACTATTGCGAATTCTTCAGAAATGTATTCAACAATACATCTACGGCATGGATCTAACCATCCTCTCCATTTGTTTTTACAGCTGTGAAGATGTAACACTACCTTTGGAAGGTGGGTCACTCCCTGTCAACATGGTATACAACACACCACCCATCGAGTAAACATCGGCAGCTTGATCGTACTCTTGTTTGAAAACCTGACTGCAGAACGGAAATCAAAAGAGAACTAAAATCAAACTGAAAACTTACGGAGCTATATATCCAGGAGTTCCTACAACGGTACATGCTGTTTCTCCTTTTCTTAAGTGTGTAGCAAGCCCAAAGTCGCAAAGTTTCTGAAAAAAAATCGAAGCTGATCATATACAGCGATTCACTCAAAGAACGTGTCACTTACCACAGAGATCTTCTCTGGCGAAAATATCCTGCTAATAAGAACATTTCCAGATGACAAATCACGATGGAGAACTCCTTCACGATGCATGTATTTCACAGCACAGATAATTTGGCGTAGTACATATGCGGCTAAAACTATCGAGTACAAGTAGCAGACGATAAAGCAAAACCATTTTACCTGCTTTATCGCTGAGAGGCCCATTTTTCTTCACGTAAGCACGCATTGACCCCAATGGGCACAATTCCATAACTACGTAAGTATCACTGCCTTCGACAAAGTCTTCGAAAAACTAGAAATTCTGTAGATGAAGTGAGGATATAAATAAGAGAGATTCACCTGAACAATATTTGGATGGCGCAAGCAACGTATGGCCCTAATTTCATTTTTAATACGTTCGGCTGCGGCACGAGAGCAGATCTATAACATGAAAATGTAAGAATGCTTTGCAAAAGTAGAGTTTTGGCTGTGAACGATCTGTCTAAAAAGATAAACTTTAAACAACATAAACAATCAGGAAATCATATTACGTTCAGAAATAAATCGGAAGAAAATAACTGTGAAGTGCACCGAAGTGCTTCAGTATATTACAAACCTTTTTGAGAGCTACACGCTCCCCGTTCGGTTGAGTCGCCGCATAAACAACCCCAAACCCACCGCGACCGATTTCTTCGAGGTCTTTGAAGTCCTAGAAATTACAAATTTGATCCGACAAGCGATCTACTTATCTTAACAAAAATGAAGAAAAGAAATATAAAAAATCGCCGACAAAGCAAACAAGGAGCAAAAAACTCACACTCAGCCGTAATCTGTTACTCGTACACATCGCATCTCCAGGTTTCAATGAATTTGAGAGCACTTGTGTCGATTAAATAGCGTTAGTACAAGAAGAAAAAAGCTTAGAGTTGTTTATTCAGCAAAACAGCGTTCAAATTTTTGAATTGCGACAAGCTCGCGGGCGCGTCACGCGCTATTGCAGACACACAATATTGCAAACTTTTTCCAGTCCATGAGCGAACATTTGAAAAACAGTTTTATAGCTGTGATAAGAGATATAATAATAAGTAAATATGAAAGGTATAAGGCAAACTGTTCATAAGACATATATGCAAGTTAACCAAGATGCAAAGGAATGTTTGGCTATTTACAGCGGAGCATAGTGAATTTCTCAAAAAAATAAGTCATCATTGTGAATTATTTTGTAAAATACAATGGTCAGTCAGAATCACTAAAGGACGAGACAGAGGAAAAATCGCTGCCATCACTTTCAACTGCGGTCGCTTTCGCAGGAATTGCTGCTTCCGAGGGTTCTTCTTGTGCATTTACGCTCGGCGATGGAGCATTTGGTGTGCTAAAAAAGAGAGGAATTAGACAGCTGAACTGGAAACATGCACTTCCCAGAGGATGGTTTCCCAATGCGGACACCTATATGGAAATCTCTAGCCGGGTGGTTCAAGTCGTTTCAAAACGCGCACGAATTTGTGACTCGTTAGCTTCCTAACTGCGCCGCTACAGTGGATGCAGATTCGTGCACCCTCGGCGCCGACTGAACAACCACTTTCTGTATGCCAAATTTATCGCTTTTATCAGAATCAATCAAATTTAAAGTCTACCACTCACTCAAGAAGAGCTGGATCAAAACCTTCTGACTGCATCTTTTGCTTCACTGCAGCTTCCAGTACTCCCTAGAAATAAGGCCAATAAAAATTTCAGCGTTTTGTGAACACATCAGAGAAAAGTGAAGGAATCAAAAAGAAAAAAACGAAAACTGATGCGACAAACCAATTTCAACATTCTGAAGTATTTAGCATAGACCGGGTCATCTTTGACTAGAAGCACTTGCTGAGTATTTGAAGTTTCTTGCTCCGAAGATGCGGGCTGCTGTGGATCACCACTTCCAATATCAGGAACTGAAGATGATTCTTTTTCCTGGAATGAACCATGAAACCTTCGGCTGTTTGAAGTCTGACTTCAAGAAGCTTCCTTGCCTACCTGAGAAGGGCCAACAACTTCTTGATTGATTGAAGGTGCTAGTGGCTTTGCTGATGAATCGGAAGAAATGACATTCTGAATAGTGAAGGCCCTCTTAATAGCTTAGGAGTAAAAAAAGAGCTGAGTTTCTACCTTAGCTTCCAGAATTGAGCCCTTTGTGAGATCATTTCCAGATTTTGCCCCAGGGTCAGGTATTGCTGCCAGCTAAAGCACTTACAAGTTACAAAACCTTTCTAAATGTCGCCAAAAAGTAAAAAAAAATGGAAATACCTTCGCCTCAAGCAACTGTAGCTTTATATCTACGGCATGTAGTTGCCGCTCGGTCTCCAGTATCATACGTTCTGCTTCACTAGCGAAAGCATTAAGATGGTCGGTCATTCGCAAGAGGTAGCAGTTTACAAAGGCCACAACTCGACGCCGATTGAGAGGTGCAACCTCAAATTGGGGCATTGACCCGTAAAATTCGCCATCTTGCTAAGTTTCAGCCCCCTTCACCAACAATATCACAGAAACCACAAAACATTGAATCACCATGATCATATTTGCAAATGCGAGTTTAACCAGCGTTATTTTCTTGAGCATAGTAGATATAAAAATAATTGATTACTGACCTCAGACAGATCAATGTCCGATTTGATGAAGCTCAAGTCTGGCTCCGTCATTACTGTACCTACACCTGTGTTTTTGAAGGGAAACAATCTTCCTTTACTTCGTATATGTATATTATTGTCTCTCAAACTTGAAGTTCGATCACCGAATGATTTCAAAACTTTATTGAAAACCGTCACGAAAAATGTCGATGAAGGATTGCTACAACAACAGCACACATTAGACTCGAGACCTCAACAGATGGCGCAATAAGTGTCAATATGGACCACAATGCATCTAGAATAACATAAAAGAAGGAAAAACTTATTGTCATTGGTAAGACCGGGGGAAGACACAACATGAATGATCACTACACGTTCGACATCTGTAATTCATAATCATCTGTAATCACCTCAAAATAAAACAAAAAGCTTGAAGGCAGCTTTCCTGTGAATCATATAATTTGTGCAAATAGATATAGTGAGATTAAAGAGCCCTGTCAACCACCCGAACTTCCTCGATGGGCGGAATATGAGTACGTTCTTCTCGAGGTGATCGGAACGTCAAAGAGTTGGAAGGCGTCACATTCATCGGTGTACTAATTTGTGAGGAGCTGGCTGAGGTAGACACAGGAGTCCGTTCAAGAACACGGCTCAGTGAAAGTGGAGGCAGACGATCTTCAGGAACAAGCAATTCGTTTAGTGTTTCTGCCATAGGCACAAGCTCTTCGAGCATAATCTAAAAAAAATTTTGGACAAGAACGTAGAAAGAAAAAGACAATGTAAAAAATTACGCCTAAATAATTGACTACATCTATGCAAATTAAAAATGCTTACCCGAATATGCAGGATGTCATCACGCAGTTTGTTAATACTCTGCAGTTCGTCAACTAGACCATCAGCGGCTTTTTTTCTTTCGATCAGTGCAGTAGTGACAACAGCAGCTGATCCTTCCACCTAGATATGAAAACTTAGAACATAAAAATGTTCAAGATGGCGTAGAAAAAGGGGTACCGTACGCAAAAACTGGAAAATAAATGCTGGCCATTGATATCGAATAGCTCAATTGAGCAAATACAAATTACGATAATGATTTGTAAATCAAAAACATAAACTTAGCTGCTATGAAGCATGAAAGTTGTCTTGAAAATATGAATGACAAAGACATGCATCAAAATGAGATCAAAATGAAAGAGCAGGTAAAACAACACTGACCGCTTTGATAGCAGATATGATCTGTGACTGATCTGTCGAAACAGCTTTAGAACAAATTTTGAGGTGCTGCTGGAGTCTCAAAGCCATCCTATAAATTTGGGTCAATGTCCATTATACTCGGCAAAAAACCCGCACTGCTTACTTGAACAATGGACGACTGTTCACCCGTTGCTGATATTCATTGGGAGATAGGTCTTTTTTGCCCACTGCGTGTCGATAGATAGGAAGAAACCGTGGAATCTCCTAAATGGGAAAATTACCGTGAAGAACTTACCAGCATGAGTTAAGGATAACGTACCTGGAATCGTTTGTAGACCTCATCATCCTCTAATTTCTCAACTTTCGCGTTCCCTCCACTAACAACAACAATACCTTTCGACTTCTTCGAAGGCCCTCAACAAGCAGTAAGCGGTAGCCAAAAATCATGAACAGATAAGCAAAGAATGACAAGATTCATCAAAAAGCTTTGTAAGAAGCTCAAAAAACGCAGTTTGTTAATAGAATAAGACTAACTTCCAGAGAAAAACGAAAACGAAGAGTTTGCGCTCTGCGGAGATGAAGTAGAAGCACTTTGCTCGTTACCCATGTTGAATTTATAAGGAACTGAAAATAAATTCATAAAACATTGCCTTAATGGACAAAATGAAGCCTACCTATGTGAAAGGGGAACTTGAAAGTTACGCGGGATTATTTTCGTTAGACACTGCGTCCATAGAAATGCGATCGATTCCAGAGTCAAGCCAGTTGCGTTCAAGATCCGCAAGGGATTCCTGTAGATATGCCAGACAATATAGAACGTTATAAACTTTTTCGCCAATTCAAAAGATAGCACTTCATAATATCAAACAATGGTGGGCACCTACTGACGGGTCCATGATCAAAACAATCGCTATTGAATTATAGCCATTAACAAGTTTGGAATGCCCATATTCGAACCAAGAATTGCAAGTGAGGACCCGACCCGTCACGCCACCCCAACACTGATGATGTTTAAGTGCGCGCATATTTATCGTGCATCCCCCAGAACTGTTCCCATATGAACCATAAACGTGGCCGCCTTTCGATCATTCTAACACGTTAACTCCAGAAAATTCAAGTGCTTATTCGAGGTTGACATGTTAAAATGATCGAAAGACAGCTACATGGATGGTTCATAATGAACAATTCTGGGGATGCATCCTTCCACGGATAGGTAATCATCCTAGCAATTCAATATTTTCCCCATTTTCCTTTATTTCCACTGTGCCTGCTTTTTGATCTTCCACAAAAAATCACCTAATGCACGGGAGTCAGACTAATGAAAATAAATCGACAAACCCATAAGCCTCAAAGAATGAGCAAAAAGGTCAAAACGGTGCAAATTACAATTAGATTAGCGTTCGTCACATTTGCTATCTGTCGCTCAAAAAAGCACTGTTGTCAAATAACATGAATTATTTAAAAATATATAAAAAAATAACAAAAAAAACTCGTGCCGCAAAAGTTAACAATATAGCGTACCTGTTTACTGGTCCCAGGAATTGCTTCGGCTTCAGGATCTGGCAGGTGATGACGGGGAATCTCGATATTATCCTATAGAGATTATGTTATATGATGTATGAAAAGAACTTAGATGCAAAAGCAAATCACCTTCGGTAACTTATGGAATATCCACTCCTTGTCCCACTTCAAATGTGTATGATCTAATGCAGCTAGCGAAGGGACAGATGACATGTCATTTGAAACAACTATTCCCTGCGAAGATGCAAAATTAGCACTTTGTATCGGGGATATTCATGCCTGGTGTAATTCTACCGCGAAGTTTACATCATAAAAAGATGATCGATATGAGATAGGGTGCAGAGATGAATCACGTATGGGTAAATTCTAAGTCACCCAGAGCAAGATTTTTGAACTTTGATCTGCTCCTACCCATATCTCAAAGAAATTTGACTTTCTGGCTTTGATTCTCCTCTACCCTACTCTCGTCTGAACAACCATTATTTTTCTTGTCACTATTGCGAGATATCCAGGCCACTTGTTATGATGATCGCTTTGTAATATTACCTTATCACTCAGTATCGATAAACAAAAACGAGAATTGAATACCAGACGGGAAACTTTCAAAGCGAGAAGAGCGCAAAGCCTGCACTGCAACAATAGGAAAAGTAATCGGAAAAAGTGACGACAGCATAGCATAAAAACGAGCTCATTGCATGCCTCTGTGGAAAATCGTTAAGGCGGCAAATGTGCAGCGAATAATGAGTTTCATCTTGAAAATGGTGCATCAAGATAGACTGCTAATCAACATGGGAGTTGCATTTCTATTTTCTGCACTATAAATGCCTGAGATTAGATAAATGGGCTGAAATGCAGAATTGCTAAATATGGCTCGTATTCAAACGAACAATTTTTCTTGGTAAATATCCTATGCAATTTGTGCAACTTCGAATTATTCAAGCTCAACTTTATTGCTTCTGATAAAGAACGAGCTGAAAAGTATTGAATTATTTGTGGAGTTTTCAAGTTTGCTTCGAGGTTGTATCCCAGAAAAACAAAAGCGTTCATAACGTCGGTCGTCTAGCGGCTTCCATGAGCTCCTTGCAATTCGAAAACTAATTCAAAAAGTTCTAAATGCTTAACTGCGAGAACCTCATATGAAGAATTACCAGAAATTAATATAATTCTTATTTGCGCCGCATTGCCAACGCGAAAAACTTCAAGTTCCTTTTCTCGCTTTTCGTATTGCGCTTCTTCCACGTTTTTCTCACGTGTGACATCGTCTTTACAAATATTGAGTAAATCGATGATTAGCTGAATACTCAAGGAATCCTTTTCGGACAAATTTGTGGAACGAAAAAGTCGTCTGAAAGGTAAACAGCGAATTTAGCAGATTCTAAAGGTAAGAAGGAATCGCCAGCTAAGCAGTCATCAAAAACAACACCCTTCATTAGCATAGCTAATCCATCGACGCAGAAACAGATAAGCCGCATCAGCACGCTTCCTATTATTTTCAGGCGATTAGCTGCTTGTGTATGGAACAGCAAGGGAGCATTCGACCATCGCAATGCACTCTAGCCATTTTTAAGCGCACGTGTTGTCACCGTCGTAAATGCACCAGGTGATAGTCCAAATCTGCTACACTATAGGTTTCCGAACCCTCCACCAAGCCATTCTCAAGTGCATGTTATAAACTTCATCCCTAGTTACCTTTACCACTTTTCTACAGTTTATCACTTATCACTTTCAATTCTCAGTTCCGTGTGGTAGTGCCTGCGATCCAACAAAAATCCTAGATATTCAAACCCCTTTCTCTATGGGGGGGGGGGGGGGAGGGGGGATTGTGGATTATTTTGCCGCTCAGTTTTAGATTTAAGAGAGATAGAATAAGAACTTGTATTCCTGGGAAACCCAGATATACTTCAAGTGAGTGCAACACATGCTATTAGTATGAAACTGCAAAAGACTGAATATTTTTATGCGTATCAAGTGATGAGATAAATGCACCGGTAGCAAGATTATGCAAAAACGTATAAAAATATCACAGGGTTAAGTAAAGGAAAAGACAAAATGAGTATAACCATTACATGACCCAATAAAACAAGTGAGTTATTGGAGTAAAACTTGACGAAGGAAGAGTGTATAATGTTGAAGGGTTACATGTTACTGGGAATTCTGATCTCTCCATCATCGCACGGAATTTGTACTTCATTGTCAAATCGTTGAACGAGGAAGTTGTTGCCCACATCTTTTTGATAACCATATAGCTCATAGAATGGTATCAGGGAGTCCTTGCATTCGAGTGAGAGCTTGTAGACACCGATCTGAAACATAGCGCGTAAACAGGAGATTATCACAGGATGGGATAACCGGTTCAGTAGCGATTAACACAAGTTTATGAGCGTGCCTATGATAGAGCTAAATCGGCCCAATTTTCTTGGCAGTGATTACCAACCTGCTTAGCCAATGCGACCAATATTCTGTTCAGCAAAGCGCCCATCTTCTTTCCACGCATTTCCTTATCCACAACGACATCCTCAACTCGGCCACGGCAGCCGGCTTCGTGGATGAATTTCCATTCAATTACTAATGTCGCTGCTGCCACTACTTTTCCACTGCTAAAAAAGCAAAGTGTTCGAAGTGATTGGAAAAAATACACTACACAGTCTGTTCCCATTCAGTTTCAGTTTCCGTTACTGCTGCTATCCATTTGCGTGCGGCTACACATCAAGAGCCTCGCGTGCGATTCATATTAGCGACCCCCACAGTGAAATCGAAGAGACATTACGATTGCGACAGACTGTACGCTAAGGGAACGGCCATAGGTTGTCGGTGTTGTCGGGGTTGTCAGGGTCAGAGACAGTTTAGAGAGCGCGCGAAACGTGGAGGCTATCATGAGGTCCTACAACGACCGGCAACCTCGGCAACCCCGACAGAATCGACAACACCGACAACCTATGGCCGTTCCCTAAGGAAAAGTCAAAGTAAAAACAAGAGAGGAAAATATTGAGCAGAAAGCAGTACTATGTCCCCATAGTTCTTGCTTTCAATTTCTCTCTTAAAAAACATCGAATGATAGCTACTGGAGAGAGTTTACTGCTGCAACACAAATACTCTGATTGCCATCCGTCAATAGAAAAAACCCTTATCAGTAAAATAGTTTCATATGCAAACGCCCAACTGCTAAGATAACAGAATGGAGCAAAACCCAAAATGAGGGATCGTTCATACCGCGCACAAAGGCGGACGAAGGCGGACGAAGGCGGACAAAGCCGGACGAAGCCGCACAAAGGCGGACGAAGGCAAGTGTGAGTGTGTGTGTGTCGAGAGAAACGAGACGAGGCGTGTGTGAGTGCGTGTATGTGTGTGTCGAGAGAAACGAGACGAGACAAGACGCGCCTTCGTCCGCCTTTGTCCGGCTTTGTCCGGCTTCGTCCGCCTTCGTCCGGCTTTGTCCGCCTTCGTCCGGCTTCGTCCGCCTTCGTCCGCCTTTGTGCGCGGTATGAACGATCCCTGACGGTAACTGCTGCATATTTTATAAAACGCACATAGCAAATTTCCTACATAGAATGCGAAGGACGATAACAGAAACAAGGACTTACCTTACATTTTCCACAACTACAACATAGTAAGCTAATGGTCGAGTAGAGCTCATACTTCTGAAGCGGTCTTCGAAAGCCTCACGTGATACGTCTCCAACAGTGGTTAGTTGAGCGAGAACTTCCAAGAACCTAGACAAAGTCTATCAGAACGACAAAGGGAGCTAAATAAAACACTAGCTTACCCATTATCATAATCAGTAATTTTCAAAGGTCTTACATGGAAACCATTTAGCACTTCACCAACAACTTCTGGAGTTAGAAGGTCAGGATTGAACATGTAGTCAGAGTAGTCTAAAAAGGGCAAGTAATAGATAAAGCTGCAAATTTCTTTGAACTCCAACGGATCTGCTACGACATGCGTTTTTGACGGAAATATCAAATCATCTCCGAGCAAAACGATAGAAACACTAACCTTCATTGATTCCAACTTCACGATTCAAAGGGATCGATATACGAGGCTGTAGCATTGGCATTTTGACTTTCTCACTGAAAAGCTTTCTTTGAAACAAGAAGAAGGTACCCAATGCTACGAAAATGTACGTTGGAAACAGAATGAATGATAAATGGACCGAAGGAAGACCTAGCATGGGAAGAACTGCGGCGGGTTCAATGTCTACCCTCCTATCTGAAATGATTATGATCTACCAAGGACTTGAAATTACCGTAATCTTAACTCCCAATTTGAGACTGACTTCTCAGCTGTACGGGAACTCTAGAGCAATGCAGTATCATTGCAGAATGACGAGAGTGGAAAGAATAATTAGCCTTTTATATGAGAAAGGAGAAAAATATTATTACAGCACTCCATAAGGACGAGACCTTCGAAGAAGTAAAAATTTTCCCGTTAGTCCATATCGATATGCGTCTAATGCTACAAAAACAAAATTGAGCAGAGACACTGAATGCGAAATGTCTGCACAAAGTCATGAATGAGTCATTGACCCGCCCCTCTTCCTTCCAAAAATTTGCCATTTCTATCATTTTGCTACGGATGACACATGCCGCAAACGCTTACCGATCATGAAAGGAAATTATGGAGACGATAAATTAAGGCGACATACGAGGCATCTCGACAAATGTATGACTAATGATTAAAGTGCGAATCGTTAACTTTATACTTCTCAAAATTTTTCGTTGATAACAAAACGTCATTGTTTATTCAAGAGGATGATGCATCACTACGGTGTGTACGCAGGCTATAAGTCATCTATGCAAACAAAATATTTTTATCCTCAGAAGTTCTCAAGCTTTGTTCGTTGTACAGTATGTTTCAACCCGGAGTAAGCATTTTGAGTGGAACAGCGCGTCTGCATCGCTAAAACCTAAGTACAGTCTGTGTCAACCTCGTGCTCCTTCTCCGAAGCAACTACGCATCCGCAGCGCGTGAGCACTGCGCCGCGATCCCCGCTCAATGCGGCGGATTTTAACGCTCAGGCACGCCAGCGTACGCGCCAAGGGGCTCAGCGTTGCGCTTGAGCTGATCGGAAAGAGAGCACGTTGTTGACGCGGACTGTACCTCGCGCGATTTCAGTCGCTGCGCGATCTGGCACTGCAGCGATTCTTTATAATTGTTCGTAGACACGCTTTACTTGGACCAGACTTGATTCTTTTGCTACAACTTACAGAAGCTAGGCACCAAAGCTTTAGAGATGGGCGCACGGTCAATTTGAGACATTTGGCAAATTGCAAAATCGCGTGGAAGTAGCGAGACAGAATCGCGGGAAGTATGCCTTAACACGTTGACGACCGCGCCATTTTGGGCGAAACTCCCACTAACGTCCTTCGCGCATTTGGCCCGTGCATACGCGCGGATACACGAAAACATCATGTGGGAGTCTTTTTGTCACTTATTGATAAAACGTGCGAACTTTGTTCAGACATACAGGTATATCACAGAGCCTTACCAGGACTTACACAAATCAAGGTTTTGCATCGATTTTCTCTTCAATAATCCATGCAATGGCTATATCTGAGGAATCGCTCTGCGAGAAAAGCGTTGTAAAACCAGATGTTTTTTGTCTGATTCATCTTTGTTTGATTTCAAAACAGCTAAACAGAGTTTTCACCTTCTCGAGAAAACGTAATTAGCGTGTATTGACTACATCAAAAGCGTACTGATTACCCAATTTTGCGGCCAAGACTTCTGAACAGCTGCCGCGATGCCCTGTGTTCTGTAAGACAATCAGGCCATTAATAGTATTACTGCATAGAAGTTACCTCAAAACTTTTCGTTTGCACCTAAAAAACTAGCGTGCATATGCGCGGATGCACGAAAATGCTAAACGGGAGTCAGGGCGTGCATACGTGCGGATACACAAGGTCGTCAACGTGTTAAGCATAAGGCTCCGCGAACGCAAAGCACTGGCGCTTTGTTAAGTAAAAACTGAGGGGAATGAAGAGACGCAGACGTGGGCTCTAAGCACGATATGATCGTGAGGCCTCGGGCAGTGTTCACGCGATTTCGTCGCGATTGATCGCGACAAGACAACTGTAACGATATCATTGCATTCCGATCTCCTTACATTTCGATTGTGATAGTTTCCCTACACGACTAATCGTGAATAACTATCACAACCGAAATACAAGAAGATCGGCCGGCAATGAACTTGTGACACTTGTTTTGTAGAGATTGAATCGCGACGATCGAATCGCGTGAACGAGGCTTAAGCCGGACTGGACTATGGGAGGCATACGATAGAAGTTCCCAATGATTAATTTGCATGATCTCTAGCAAAAACGATAACTGTGCAGAAAAATTAAAGGCAGCGTTCAGGCAAATCTGGCCTATGGGGATCTCACTTGGAAGGTAATCTTGCAGTCCTGACTGAAACAATGCCCAAGCGGCAATTCAAATGATGACATAGGTATCGGAGTTGTAGAACGCTTCAAATGCAGGAAGTCACTCACAAAAGAGGGTTTTTGAATCGAAGTGGCTTTTACGAACGAAATCTAAACTTTGAAAAGCGTCGACTGATTCCGAATGAGTGCTTGTTATCTGAAAGACAACTAAAGTGTACGCTGAGTTATGAGTGTTCTTTGAAACCAAAAAAGCACGCAGATTCAAGTGAAACCAGTCATTTTGATCAGTTTATTGCATAAATACGATAGCTTTGATATGCTTTCATCAGACAGAGATAACACTGGACCATCTGAATTATTTTGGACAATTTTATTCCAACTGCGCATTCAATCTCTTCAACCCAAAGAATGCTCAAACTTCGATGTCCAAAGGCGCTTACGTGAGATACCAAAAACAGATTTGGAATCAGCGTTCGATGCTCCTTAGAATACAGATTTTAATAGGAAAGGTCATTTCGACGAGACTACCTTTGTCAGATTTTGTGCCGTTCATTCTCAAATAAATCCAATGTGCACTCCTGCCTGCTACCCAACGTCATGATCTAAGTGATCGAAACGTTCCCGTCGTAACTGATGTGTGATCCCTGCTCCAAATCCGCACACGCAAGCATCTCTACCTGTGAGAATCAAGGCATACCGCACACGATTTCAGTCGCTGCGCGATTCGGCAGAAAAACGACCATTCGTAAATCGTCGTTACCGCCCTGTGTTTGAAAAGGACCTGATCCGTTTCCAAGAACTTACAGAAGCTATGCGCCTGTGCTCTTGAAAATCGCCCACGATGGATTCATGAAATTCTGGCAACACGCCAACTCGCGTGGATGTCGCGATTTGGTCAAATCGCGTGAGGTATGTATGCCTTATACTTGAGGCTAGCGGTTCAGAATTCACATCTTGTGAACCGCTTCTATATCGGAGTGGTGGTGCACTAAAGGACACACATTCGGCACTTGGTGTGCAAAAGACAAATTCAAAGGGCCCAGTGTCATAATATCATTTTGATATATAACAGGGGAGACGGTCTTTTTGACGGGAGGTCGGGTGGAGGAGCGTCAATACAGTCCGCTTCAAAGCAGACTGGGTTGAGAGGTTACAGTTATGGCGGCCTTAGCTTCGACTAAAACACAGCTACGCTTTCCAGTCGCCGATTGCTTCGAAATTGGTAAGATGCTCGAGCATACCCTAGTATAATTTTTCCTAGACATAAGCTCAACACCGCGATGGTATATTCAGAGTGAAAGCTGGTTTCAATTCACTGACCATTGGAAAACCCGACTGCAGGAGAGAGGTCAAGTAAAAGCTGGCCAAGTCGCCATTTCTATGCTCTTCAAGCTCCTCCCCTTCTTTCATGGTGACTTTGCAGCTATCATTTTGGAAACTGTGCAAGGGTCAAGAAATATGTGTGGGCGAAAACCAATGGTTATGTAAACACTATTCAAATATATATTGCCTACGACAATTAATTTACAACAAAATCTATAATTTCTCTAGAAGTTCATGACAGTGAATGATTAGCGTAATTATGCGCAATAACAATATGCATACAAGTAATAGAGATTCACAAACATCTCAACATCAGAAATTTGAAGAGATATATCCGGCTACAAGGAGAGGAAATCTCTAAACCGGAACATAGATTAGTACTACATTTCATACCGCGACTTGCGCTACTAATTGTACACGAGGTTTGAGCTACCTAGGAACACGCACACCGTCAATAAACAAGGCATAAGATTCAATAACCAGATTACTCTCTCGTGGCAAAGCATCAGTGCCATAGCATCTATGTGAATTATGCAAGAAACTAGAGTGTTAAGGTAAACCAATGAGAATTCTCTTAGAGTAACCGTAAGTCATGACAATATTAGATCAACATAAGCCAGCTGAGTATACAAAAATGACTGACCCACTTCTAAATGGGGAATAAGAGATAATTTGCACATAGAAAGAACTGGTTAGCAGTGACAGGCGAATGGAAAGAATTTTGATGAACAGAAAATACTTACGACTATCATCAACAAGATGAAAACAATATGTGGCATGGAGAGAAAGGTGGGGAGGGGGGAAGAGAGGGACTACATCATTCCGAGCTACACGGAGGTTACTGGACCGAGCTCGGCCGCCACAGCAACAGCATGTTCAGCATGGGTGGTGAGCTCTTTCCGTTCGTGACGGCTATTGCCATTACCGTTGGTGCATCCGATGATTGGAGCCATGCGACGGGTAAAGTCCACATAGTTCTTTTGCAGTTCAGACTAAAAAACACGTCTACAAAAAACAAAAGACGAAATCAAGACAAAATGAAAATCCACCAAAAACATTTATTTCTCGCGAGCAAATTTCAGATTACCTGATAAGCAAGCTGATCCGGCATGATGAGATTCTTATTGAGGGTGAGCGCATCGGCACATTTCTTAGAGAAGTCGCGGAAACAAAGCCTTAGTTTGTTCTGCAGCTTATCAACCGGCTTTCCGAACTCATTCAGGGCAACATCGGTAAGGAACACATTGGCCACCTGCAATAACAAAATATATGGCTGGAACACAGCAAACATGGACTTTGATCCGCTTCCCTCCTCTAAGACAAATATTGTGACCATGAGTCTACACATACTGGCAAAAAGTAAAGGAATCCGAAGAAAACATCCATAGCTCCCTTTATGTCTTTGGTTCAAAGCGAAATGGAAATTTAAGATGATTACCTGGATAGGTCCCTGATTTACTGTTGTTCCTATGCAGCCTTGCAAGACCATCTGCAACATTTTCGCATCCGGCGGATTCTGAGCGATAGCAGCAGCTAGCTCTCTGAAAAATGACTTTTACAGCCCAGATCAGTCAGTCAAAGAAACAATGTTGCAACTCTAAAAGATAAATTATGAAATTGTGACACAACAAACGTGGGACAGTCGAAGAATCTTATATATAAAGCTGAATGTCTGTTTGTATGTATGTATGTATGTATGTCTGTACGTATGTTCCGAATAGAAAATTCCATTTCTGAACCGATCCGGACCAAACTTGGCACACATACACTTCGGGCTCCGGCGGGTGTCATAGGCTACTTTTCGTCATCGATCGATATCGATTTTATCGATTTTTATCGATTTTTTTGCTGAGTTCGCCTACGCGGCTGGGAGTTGGCACAGGGGGGTAATCGAGCATGGGGATTCCGAATACAATATTGGTTTTCAGGATTATCGATTACTTTTATCGATTTTATCGATTTTTTGCAAAGTTTGAGCTACGGGGCTGGGAGTTCGCACAGGGGGGTAATCGAGCATGGGGATTCCGAATACAATATTGGTTTTCAGGATTATCGATTACTTTTATTGATTTTATCGATTTTTTTGCAAAGTTTGAGCTACGGGGCTGGGAGTTCGCACAGGGGGGTAATCGAGCATGGGGATTCCGAATACAAAATTGGTTTTCGGGATTATCGATTACTTTTATCGATTTTATCGATTTTTTTGCAAAGTTTGAGCTAGGGGGCTGGGAGTTGGCACAGGGGGGTAATCGAGCATGCTGATCATCCCCAAGGGGGGTGATCAGCATGCTCGATTACACCCCTGTGCCAAATTCCAGCCCCCTAGCTCAAATTTTCAAAAAATCGATAAAATCGATAAAAGTAATGGACGATCTTGGAAACTAATATTGTATTCGTAATCTGCATGCTCGATTACCCCCTGTGCAAACTCCCAGCCCCGCAGGTCAAACTTTACAAAAAAATCGATAAAATCGATAAAAGTAATGGACGATCCTGAAAACTAATATTGTGTTCGTAATCAGCATGCTCGATTACCCCCCTGTGCAAAATCCCAGCCTCGCATGTCAAAATTTACAAAAAATCGATAAAATCAATAAAAGTAATCGATAATTCTGAAAACTAATATTGTATTCGGAATCCCCATGCTTACTTCCCCCCCTGTGCCAACTCCAGCCCTGTAGGTGAACTCTGCAAAAAATCGATAAAAATTGGTAAAATCGACATCGATCGATAACGAAAAGTGGACTGTGACACCCGCCGGGGCCCGAAGTGTATGTGTGCCAAGTTTGGTCCGGATACGGCGGAGCCGGGTAAGCCAGCTAGTATTGGGATAAAATTTACCGTGTCTTCTTTTCGATGTCATCGATAGCCACTTGAATTGGCTGCAGTACTTTCTGCTCACGATCTACAACTTTGATCCGCGTTTTCACGTAGGGAAAACTAGAAAAGAGTGATATGCTTTTTGGTCAAGGATGTAATTTTTATTAGCAATCCGTACCTATGCTGCGTGGTCAGTATAGTTCGCCGCTTGTATTGGTCTTTCAGATCACCATGTGCTTTTCCGTCACGTGTGAAAGGAGTTGCGTACACAAATCTGCAAAGAGGGTTTGAAAAATAGCGAGTGTATGAAAAACTATCGACAGCAAATGAAAAAAAAGTGTAGACATCACTGAAAAATTATGAGTTGGAATACCTCTTGATTTTGTGGCTGCGTTCAAAATGCGTTAGTCGCCTTCTCCTCTCCCACTTGTCAAAATATGGTTCAACATAGGTGATTTGAAGGTAGGCCTTCGTTGATTGCAGCGAACTTCTCACAACCTATAAACAATCTGTAAAATCAAAAAGATACAAATATCATACATTAAATTCGAACATCATTGGATTTCAAAAACTGAAAAAAAAAACACAAATAGTATAACACAAGATAGCGTCAAAACCAGGGTGCTCACATTGTTGGAGTCCTTGATCACCTCCACCACATCCTTGCCAAACCTTTCCGTATAAAACGATTCGAGGCGGTGGCTGATCTCAGAAAGCTTTGTGAAAGGGCCCTCCTATACAAGTACAGCACATTAGTACGCATTAAGTGCACAAAAAAGAAGTTCCCAAAAAGAGGAAGCCTTACCTTATAAACATACTCTTCCCCATCTAAATCACCAAATCTAACGCCATAGAATCCGACACGAAAGTATGTACCAAAGCATCGCTTGTCAGCACTAAACACATTCATATCATGATAAAACAGTTCAAGAACCCAAAACGAATTTCACTCACCTTGCTAACGGTGATGGCCAAACATCCGCCGCATCTTCCGTGATGCAAACTGTGGGCTCGATCCGACCAAGCGCCTCGCTGAGTCGAGCGTAGATTGCTCCCAGCCGACGATAATCGCGCCACTCACGTACAATAGGTTCCACTATCTGAGAGTGAAAGTAAAAAAATAAACTAGTGTAAAAAGAAACGAAGTTGCAGAATAAGCGAGTAAAACAGAAAATGATAACAAAAAATGTATGACAGCTTACCCGAAACACATCGGGCATGATCTCATACATATGAGCTTTTTCGAAGAATGCCATAGATTTCTCTACAAGATTCACTAGCCCAGCAGCAGTGAAGTGGCGAGATTCGCAGATACCTTCAACATCGGGACTGAAAGAAATCAGTTCAACTTAATTTTTCCTTCGAAAGTAATAAGAGTGCCATAGAGTGCAGCCTACCTGAGGACATCATCACTAACAGCGCTTTCTTCAAGTATGTTGTCACTGATGCGCTCGAAATCGACTGCTCCACGAGGCATAAAGCTATCAGTCGTGCTCATAGCTGGAATTAGATAATTTTACAGTCAAGTAGATTTTTCGTTTTATATTGAGCGGGAAATCTACCCGATTGTACGGCGAATAAGAATGTGTACGCACCGATGTATTCGGCAGCTAGAGCTGCGGCGTGTAAAACACATTCTCCAGCCTCGCAGTACAATTCGCGATCTGCATGACGAGAAGCCATGTTCAGCAACCAAGTCAACCTGGAAAATATAAATGAGTGAAATTGGAATCGCAAAAATCTAGGTATAAAAAAGTAAAAATATCAAATTATGAAAAGAAATTGGGTACGAAACAGATGATCGATGTAAAGCCGTAGAGATGTTTAGATCTACATACCTAATTCACTTCTGCGGCTAATCACTTGCCAATACAGTAATTATGTTACCTCAGTTGTTGTTATGCTATCCTATGACCAGGGCACAGAAAGGGGGCACTTTCACCAAAGCAAACTATGGCCTTTTAGCTGCATATAAGTAATGCAAAAATTACCGTAAATCAGGATTTGTCTGGTATCCCTTGGCCACACGATACATTAAGTCTATGGTCATCTCGAAATCGTTCGCAAACTCCTTAAGTTTTACCGTATCGGATAGTATCATGTGGATGTTGAGGACGAGATCTTTCACCTGAAGATTAGATTCATATCAAGCAAAATTCAACACAGACAAAACTCAAACGGACCTGCTCTGAGAAATTTGAATTTGCTCTTGTATGAGAGTCTGTACTGGCGTCTGTCTCTGAGTAGATGAGCACAGTCTGTAATTAGCAGGCATTAGAATAATAGCAACAAAGCCGAAAAATGACACCAAACTCTCAGATAAAGCTGGTCAGCCCAGGCAAAACCAAGGAAAAAACAGAGAACTACCAAGTGCCTGAAGAATTCCAGCAATTTCAGTGTTCTAGCGCGAACCCAATGATATTGGGATATCTAAGAGTTCATGGCACATATAATGTTCGAAGTTTAGAGATAAGTCCTGCCGAAAGGATAAATACGTGAGAAATACCACAAGCAAGCAGTTATGTTTGAGTCCGCATGATTTCTTTCAAAATTTGCTCAAGACCAGGCTGCTGCTCAAGACGGCTTGCTCAAGACCAAACCCATCAAAAATCAAAAATGAGGCTGTTTAGTTTTGAAGCTTGTGAAGAAAAAACTGAACGAATAGCATGTTAGATCATTCTAAAAATCTTTTTGTCTTCGGTTCTAAGCGCTTTCCAAATGTGTTCCGATTAGCTTTCAAAGTTGCCGGTTTTTCTAAGAGGTAAGCTCAATGGATTTGACCACTTGAAATCTCGCATTTTTCAAATCATTGTTAGGGGGATATAGTAAGAACAAGCAAAAAAAATCACATTTTTCTGAGACAATAGTCTATGAACTAAAACTGCAAAAAAAATTGGGGAAAAATCAGTAATTTTGATTCCCACTTCCTATTCGGTCGTCATTTCCAAGAATCCAACAAGAATGAACAGCTGGTTCCGCAGAACCCTAAATGAAATTCAAAAACCCAGGGTAATCAAACGATGGCGGAAATGACACATCACAAAATCCGCAGTCATTTGGACTTCAGTCAGCAGTTCTGGCTTCAAACTTGCTTACCAAAACCAGACCTTCAATTTAGCCGCTTTTCAAATTTGGCACTCAAAGTTGGAGGCAAAAACGAGAAACTTTTGGAATGAAGATACTTTCTGAATGTCATCCTTTGCTTAAGAATGATTGGCAACAAAGAGAATCCTTCCATGGTTGGCAACAAAGAGAATCCGATTTTGAGAAAAAAGCTGCTCCAAAACACCAGGTCACTAACAAAAATAATTTTCTGCTTATTAGATTACTCCCTCTAATTGAAAAGGAAAGACGAGATGCAATCAGTAGCAACGGAAGATCTACTGCATTTGGAGATTGCTGCAAGAAGCAATGAACCAAAGACTGCATCACCGAATTGGAAACCTTGATGCGAGGGATTGGATTACGCACGAATCGCGGTGATTTGGCACAGATTAAGTGCGAAGCCAGTGAGACGTAAAGCCAGATATTGCAACGTTCAGTATTCTGGAGAGCGATTGAAGATGAATGAGTGGCAGAAATGGAAAAGGCATGCTAAATCACCAGAACAATGAAGATTAATTGAGAAGGAAAAAGATGTAGGCCGTAGAGAAACGAAAAGCGAATTACCTGGTTCAAAAACAGCTAAACTTCTTTGATACTTCTTTCTTTCGTATCATATATTCAAGCACAAAAGAATGCGACAAATTACGATTACGATATCCATCATCGTACAAACAGCTTGCAAGTGCAAAAAAAAAATCCATCCGAAAACCCATATCTCTATCTTACACTCAGTTGCGCGTGAATTTGATTCATAATGAAAAAAAAATTAAAGCGTTAGGATTTCAATGAAGCCCAAAAAAGTTTTTGACCTTTGATCTCTTTTGTCGCAGTAATGAACAGCTTATTCTTTTGACTCGTGAGACTGCAGTAGCATTGGCTGAATGGCGACTCAGAAATCTTTCAGAAAAATATGGAAAAAGTGCTCATTTTCAGAAATCCTTTCAGAAGAATATGAAAGAAGTGCTCCTTTTCGCTCGACGATAATTTCAGTATATTGAACCATTCTCTATCAGCACGTCAGATTATTGGAAGCTATAAATGCTATGCCGTCTCAGCAGCCGCATGAAAGAAAGGCAACAAAAGATGTGAATGGAATATGGTTTAATTTTGAAGCGATCCAACACATACTGCCTCTGCAGAAATGATTTAGCATCGTATGGCATGCTAATCATTCCGAGAAAATTTATATTTGACTAATAGGAAGACTTCTCTGCCACATTACTCTAAAAGACTCTGCTGCCAAGTCACTACTGCAAAGCCACGCATATAAACAAATCTGCTCCAGTGATTTGCGTTCTAGTAACAAATCTATTACTTCTACACTACCAAATACAGCGGAGTGAAGTTTTTGAGAAAAATTTGCACAATAAAACACTGGTAAAAATTATATTCTAACCTCATCGATGTACTGCTGAATTCACAGAATTTACGCTGTTGCAATACTTTCATTACGAAAATAACTACAGCAGATTGGGAGGCCGCTTGCCTAATTGACACCATAGCTCGTGCAAAGCATTAAATGTTACGACTCGCTATCTGCAGCCGTCTCGCATAATTAATGGGTACGACAAAAATAGGCCCTGCCGAAATGCTGATTTAGAAAATCCAATTTGTAAGTCTATATACTCTGTGCTTATTGAAAAAAAATTGAACCACAATCGATCAAAATAACTACAAGTTTTTGATACAATCAAACAGGCATTATTGGATTGCAAGCTGCTAATGATTTAGTAATTACGGGAAAATTGAAAAATTATGACGGTAAACTTCTAGAGCACAGATTCGAAACAGCTTAAAGGCAGTGTCCAGGCAAATCTGGACCCTTTGGTTTTTTGCGTGGAAACTGATGGGGAGCCACTGACTAAACCACTGCCCGAGTTGCAGCGCACGGGATTCACTCACGCCAGAGAAATCGACGTCCGAATCGGTCGTCCCCGCGCCGTGACCGTAACACTTCAACAGTCTAAACGCACATCACGGTCCCGGCGCGAAACCATGAGGACGGGGTGTAGCGCGGAAACTCGTTGGGAGGGTACGAAATAGCACGGAAAATGAAGATATCTCAAATGTAATCAACGAAAACACCATGAACAACGCGGAAAAGGCAGCCGAGAGAAGCCGCCGCAATAAACATGGAAAACAAGGGCAATTCACGAAAAGTAGAAGAATTAGGAAATTTGCAGTATTTGTGCAACGAATTTGCGCGCTACATCCTGTCCTCATGGTTTCGCGCCGGGACCGTGATGTGCGTTTAGGCTGTTGAAGTGGTACGGTCACGGCGCGGGGGCGACGGGCTCGGAGGCCGATTTCTCTGCCGTGAGTGAGTCCCGTGCGCTGCAATTCGGGCAGTGGTTTAGTCAGTGGTCCCCCATCAGTTTCCATGCAAAAAACCAAAGGGTCCAGATTTGCTTGGACACTGCCTTTAAGTGGCAAATGTGACCAAGTTTAAGGATGAAGTTACAGAAGCTGACCAAATAACGTTTTTTTTTTGGATTTTTGTGGGATACATAAAGAAAGTTACTGTACGAATAAGAGAACGGAAACTATATTCTGCGCTCATGGCCTCAGGTTCAGTATAGGAGTTTCCTCGACAAGTACACTCGTGATTAAACTTCCAACAATAATTTGTGGTACCAAATGTTGCTAGGTAGGAGGAACAAGAAAAGAAACCACACGATCGTCTCTTTGGATAATCAGAAAACAACTGGACAAAACTTCAGTTCCCGCAGACAATTTTGCTCGTAAAACCTTTGCAGAGAGAAATTACCAGCAAATGCCAAGGTCTGCAAGATTTTATAGCACTTGCTCAAGATATGTGTGCCTGTCAGCATGATTTTTAACATTGAGATGGAATTGAGCGAGGACTCATTATCAAGTACTTAACTTAGAAAAGCCGAAAAAATTGTGTTCAGGCATTTCTGGTTATTTACGGACTTCAAAAAGGTAACTAACACAGAAAACAGACATGATTGCCAAAAACAAGTTCCTCACCTTGAGACTCCTTCTCAGGCAATCTTCGTTCAGCCAAACACCTTCCCTCGTCGCATTGGAGACCAATGTTGACAGCGACATTGTGATCTGCATCTTCACCCTGGCCAAGCTACTTCCATTTTCGAAGCTTTCTCTCATCAAGAGGTACAAGCTAGCCGCTGCCTACAAAGAAGATTCCACCTACTAAAGGTAAGATAAAATCCAGAATTTTACCTGAGATCGCACAGCCGGTAGCCTCGACGCACAGTGTCGCAACAGTTGCAAACAAAGCTCCCCACATTGCTCGGCTTCCTAAAAGTTTACCAGATGAGGGTAGAGTACTGGAAGACGAGTATTATAATTAACCTGTTCAAAAATTACATCAGAAAATTTCTTCACTAGCGTTCGCTGACTTACGAAGATACACTCGAGCGCTTGGACGGATTGATTGCATGCAAACATGTGCATCTGGAAGAAGGGCATTTACGAGACGAGCCACTAAAGACAATAAAAAGAGGAGGGCTTTTACCATGACTCTCAGCACCATCGGAAGGGCAAAGTGCAAATGATCGCTGCCAGGCATGGAAATTACTCGTATTATCGTTTCTAGAGTATCTAACACGCAGAGCACTACTTCTGTGCAAAGTGCAGCTTCCAGAAGAGCTTCATCTTCGAATACTGAAGGTAAAAGTTGCGATGCAGGTGAAAAAAAAAACTTTGAAAAAGATTTGAAGGGAAACCATCAACGTTATGCAAAACACAATACAATCAGGACTATGCAACTTTCGTTGAAAAAAAGAAGAAAAAAGAAAACACAAAAAAAACCAACTGAACTCACAAAGAGAACTGGTCCTCCTCGAGTCCGATTCACCAGATGAAGGCGGTCCTACGCGCCACCTGACACCGTCGCGACGTGTTACCACACAATCCGTTAGCGTTTCGTCAGGATCAACACCGTTCGTGACAACTTCGCCCTGTAATACAATGCGCAAACTCAAAGCGAAGGGCAAGCTAACGTAGTATCACCCACCGGTTTTCCTCCTTTGTATTCAAAACAAGAGACACAAAGCTGGAGCACATTCAGCAACTGGGTCAATCGGGTTGGTGGTAATTCTCGCACCCAATGTCGTAACGCAGCACCATCCACATTCTTCAATACCCAACAAAAACACGCCAGAAGCTGCAAACATGCCAATCTTTGCTTCACTCAAAAATCGAAGAGCGCGCGGAACAACAAAAGGTGCGCCCATTCAGGCATTATTTGGCAGGAAAAAGAATGGAAAGATGAGATGATCTCTGGTAAACAGAGCACGGTAAAAACAATATGTGAAAACGTCTCAAATGTCTGTTTACAGTGTCAAGCTATGGAAAACACTTCACGCTACAACTGAGGAATTTCTATGGTTAACCAAAACTAAGGGAATAATTATAAAATTTTATGTGGATGATGATTTCGAGAGTAAAAGATAGAGTTAGCAGGAGATTCCAGCAATTCTGCATTGGCAAGCTTTTGTTCTTTCAATCGAGCAACGAACAATTGCAAATGGTAAAACAAGGGCGACTGTTGCACTTTGAGGAAGAAAAGGCAGAGTTTCGTGTTACTGCAAGTTAAAGACAACTATGGGTCAACGCTACCTGGATGGATCTTAGAATTGTACTCTTTTGCAATTAGTTTGGTTCAATGTAAATGTAAAGTGAATAAATCTACGCTACAGCAGCTAAAACAAATACCTCAATCTATAAAGAGAGAGGAAAATAGTGGAGAAAAGCGGCACTCATTAGCAATTTTTTATCTAGTCTCAAATGACGAAAAATTGGCATTGAAGGATAGAAGAGTTGACCTCACATCGAAATAATTCCAAGAGATACAACTAGTGAAAGGCAAAAAACTGGTTGTGTTGCTACTCATTATTTTTGAGCGTTACTTGCTTGAAATTGCTTTGTCAATGAGATATGAGTGGTGTTTTGGCTCACCTGCCGCGACAACTCCAGATTGAGCGTAACTTTCGATGGATCCGATGGTTTGTTTTTTCGGGTTCCAGTAGGTGTACGAGGGGGTGATATTGCCGAACCAATGCCTGCTATTGCCAATGCAACTTTTGGATTTACACCAGGCGAAGTGGACGAGCCAAGAGGATCATCAGAGGGAAAACTGCTGGAAAATTGCGATATGGCGTAACATACAGGAGTGGAAGGTCCGTATAGAAAGGCTCTCACTTTCCAACAGTGGTAGTATTTACAAAAGGATCATGAATCTGCTCTGCTACATCCAAAACAATAGTGACTAGTGGCAAGTAGAGCGATGCAACACGAGATCTAATACCCGGATCTGTTAGACGACTGTCAGCTTCGTGAGCAGATAAAAGATTATGAATAACGCTAATGGCTCTGAAAAATCCCATATTTTTTCGAACTCGTTAAGAATGGAATAAACCGCCTACCGAGAATGTAAAACATGACTGTTTGACGAATCAAGAACAGAGGCAAGATCAGCTAAAGCTAAGCCAACGAGGTAATGACATCTTCGGAAATCGTACGTCAACTCTCCCGATCCCAAAGATCCCCAAGAGTCGATGGTAGTCGTAGTCGACCTAAACATGGACAACATCACAAAACACCATGTTTTTCTTGGATATTTTGACGCGGAAGGACCAAAACATCCTCTAGGTTAATGAAAATTTCCCTTCTTCACATGAGTAAAACACAAGCTTCGCTTTTCTGTGAGAGAGTCATCACATAGGCTGAAAACAAGTACATTACTGACCTGCTCGTGATGCTCACGCATTCTGGGCTAGGAGCAAGTGGAGTTGTCGTGCTACCGATTGACATTCCTAGCGATGACGACGAAGACGATGTTGGAATGCTGAGTGGCGGCCCGAACGGCAGGTTGAGAATGACAAAATGTTCGTGAGAGCTAACAATCCGAATGAAGTCTAATTTCAGCAGCATTAATGTTGTCGCAGCCGGCTCACTCACGCAGCTGAAGTGCACATTTGAAAAGTGCAACTTTACATTAAATGATAAATTACGGCTCACATACCTAATTTTAGACGATATGTCCCTGTTAAAATCTCGAACAAGTCCCATCACGTAGCTGCGATCCATGAGAGAAAACGCATCTCTGTAAGGGAGGTAAACAGTTTTATAGATAGAATCCTTTGAAACATGATTCACAGGCACCGTGCAGAGACGCACAGTTAGGTTAGAGAAATTTAAGATCTCTCATGTACTTCACTCCCTCTACAATAAATGGAAAATGAATAACAAGTTACTACTAGTAAAAGAAAAAACTGCTGGTACAATTATACCCTGGTACCATCTGTACTTGTCGACAAGACCTTGGGATTGAAAGGACTCAAAGTCAAAACTTGCATGATGTCTTCAGAATTTGAAGACGGGAGATAATAAGAGGAAATTTCTGTATCTGTTGGAAATCCAAAAATAAGCCAATGACAAACGGCTAAGCAAAGAGGATAAAACAGACAAAGTCCACAGAAATTGCGAAGGACATTGCCAAGAATAATATTACCTCACAAAAAATGCCCAGCTGTTCGCTATTGAAGTCGCTTGTCTCGGGTCCTTTATAAGCCGAGTTACAACTTCACTGATGGTCGCTGCTGAAAGCGAGTCCAGAGCTTTGATAAAGCGTTCGCTAAACCTCGATCTCCTCGTTAGATACAGCCTTCCCGTCATTGATAGATACTCAGCCATGGACTTTATCTGTAAGAAGATTAGCAATACATACCGCTTTGAGAAAAATCGGCTGAGTTAGAGAAAGTTGAGCTCACCATCAATTCCAGAAAGAACCAAGCGTTAAGAAATGCCATTTCTCTAGCACAGCCACCACTCCGAACCCAAAGCTCAGCCAATTCCTCATGCACTGCTTTATTAGACGTACTTGGAACAGCTTCACAAGGAACTCGCTGATGTTGTGAGCTAAGCTTTTCCATGTCTTCTGGAAGATAGAGCTAGGACTTCATACTTGGGAACGAAATAAAACACAACGAATACTGGTCCGTCTACAGACCTATGATGGTAAAAAGCTTTTGCGTTTCGGGTGAGCCTGGCTTGTTCCGTTCCGCTGCCAGTTCTTTGCACAATTGTGATCTAGCTTTTGATTCTGAAAAGCTACATCTACTGAACTCAGGAGCAACCGCTACAGAGATGTGAACACCCAAAGTTATTCTGCTAGTGAATAAGATGAGTTTACGAGAAATGGTAAACATATGGAAGTAGATTGATCCTTTCCATCTTTACGAACAGTGGTGCACATTACAGTTATGAACAAACAACACCAAATGGCTTGAACCTACGAACCTTTCATGGCGATTTTGAAATAGTGGATGTAAGAGCTGAGCAGGGCGCTTCGACCATGTATGTCTAGACATGAGTCAAGTAACATAGTGCAGATCTTCACCAACTGTCCCATCGTTTCGAAGCAAGCAGATGAAAGAGCTTCTGAAACATGAAACACATACTGAATGTAGCCGGTTACACAAAGTTTCTAAAAAACAATGATCCTCTTATAAGACGTTCTGCCTCCCTCCCTTCCTCCAAGAAAAATGCTCCACTTTTGAGTCAACCTTCCCATTAATAGACTACTTGCTCCCACAAAGTTCTTCTCCTTACCACAACAAAAAATATGAAAGCTAAAACGTCTGACACACGAGATTCAGAAGCGTCCACATCACCAAGATCCCAAACTGTAATACTGACCTGTGTATGGACGATTAGCGATGAGAGCAATGAGCTTGTCCAGCACGTTGTATAGATACGCTACCATGGGCTCAGGTCTGGCTTTCGTGACACCCTTGAATAAAACTCTTGAAACTGAAGGCATCAACATCAGATTAGATCAACAAGAGGAATACATTATAGGTCCTGATAATTTAATTGAGAAAAGAGCTAGAAAACAAAACTCCAAAACTTTGACCAATACTCACCTGTGCAGCTGTTATCAATGCACTTTCGCTGACTGGCGGTTTCTTTCTATCAGTAGAGCTCAGTGAGTTCACGCCAATGAAAAACTTCTCCAGATGCTCATCCTAAAAGGTAATTTTCGACTTCGCTGAAATCGCTTTTCCTATCGTACCTGTGGATGCACAGTACTGATGGCTACGATAGAAAGGTTAAACGTCGGCTTATGCGCATCCAACCACCGCACATTCGGTAGGGCAACATCTGGGGAGAGGTAACCGTAGCTAGATGGAAGACGATCGAGGCAAATGGGCAAGTGGAAATCACCGGTTGATAACCGACCATCACGAAAAAGAGGTAGCCACTGAAAAATGGCGGTAGAAGTAAGGAAATTCGAATTAACACGGAGCACATACACTGTATCCTATGGGATACTCCACTTCTTCATCCTTGTTGTTCGGTTTGCACGAAATATGATAGAAACTAAATAATAAATGATGGCCATCATCCAAATCTACAGGGATACGAAGCTTGATTTCATCAGCAATGTGAGGTGTCCTAAAAGTAAAACTTATCCAGTGCAAGGGCAACACTCTAATCTCAACCTTACTTGTTATGATACACTACAGAAGTCCTTATCTGAGATACCATTTCACATCCTGGGCCACGGGAAAACATGAGAGGCAGTGCGTGTTCCTGACTGTTCATTAGCTCTACCTTGATAGATATGTTTCGTGCTGTGCCAGGCCGATTGCTGAGGTTCGCCGACTTCGGATAGATGTATAAGAGGTTCCTAAAGAAATAATATTTTGGAAAGAGATTTAGTAGGTACTCACAATGCATACACAAAAGGCACTTCAAAAAAATTCCTAAGAGTAACAGTTGTACTGCTTCAATCAGATGGTGAATAACGTGCCGGTATGCAAAACTTTTCCTTGCGAGAGCGATCAAAAATCAAGGTTTTCTCGGCTGGTCCTCACCAAACTCTACATGACCAAACTTTGACAAAAAACTCGAGGTTTCACTTGCACTTGTGAAATGTGAAAGATAATTCATGACCATGGTAAAGGACATTGAGACAAAAGCTACTTACCGATAACTAGTATTCGCCATGTAGAGGCCTTTGGCAGGAAACTCTTGTATGTCCTTGGTCAGTTCACCTCCAGAAAACGGGGCCACACGCAACATTTCCGGGCTCAGTCGCATCAGCAGCTCTTCTCCAGTGCCTCCTACAATTGACAATCACAGGGTAGAATCAGTTCTCGAAAAGTGATGATTGCTAAACCGGGCGCGGATATTTTTACCTGAAAGCTGCAGCGAAAGTTCGGCTGCGAACGTCTTCAACCTGCCAAGCTTCCCACCAGGTTTCCTAGCATCAGCCAAGAGTTTGAACAGATCATCGTCGCTCAAACGGTCAGCCTCCTACCAAAATCGTAAATGAAGGTAATTCAAGAAAGCAAATGATCAATACATAACTAGTGAATAGAAATATTAAAATAAATTAATTATGGAATATTCAAAAAACATAGTTTTACGCAGACAGAAAGACACACCTGCTTGTAGAAGGAATTCAGATTGAGCGTAACCGGCTGCAGGTTAGCCAGACTGAGTTCTATGGACTTCCCCAGTGAAGATGCATCAGGCGTAACCGAGTCTTCGCTTCCTGGAAAAGACATACAGATGCCCTTTCCACTGAATCTTCGCAGTCTGACGTACCTGCAGTACTTCCTCCAAGAAACTTCCGCCGCTGAAGAGGTGTTCGCACTCGATTCAGCACCGCAGCTGCAGAGGTTCCGCTCCCCATTCTTCGAAATGTCGATGTAGAGGTGTTCGAAACGCGATCTGCGCTAACGATGCTGTCCGTTTCTCCAGAAACGCTGGTCGGAGGTGCAGGAGTCTCGCCTGTGATCCCAAACTATTCGAGTCCCAAGCGCGTACTGAATAGGTGTTACCTGTGACCGTAATAGAAGACGCTGCCGTCACAGTAGACATAGTCATTTCTGACCGCTCTAGCGAATTCGCACCCATGAGGACCTTTTGGAGATCTACTACCATAAATCCTAGTGGCATACGAAAAGACCCTAAACAGATGATAAGCATATCGCAAAAAAAAGTGCACGACGATGTCAGAAGTCTCGTCCTACCTAAACGTTCGCAGTAATCAGAGGCCGCAGCGGAAAGCTTTTCCCTAGTCCGATCATCTTTTGCTGCACAACCGACATAAGGTTCCGATGCATCCCCTATCTCACAGGCTTGCAAAACTTTTTCAAGCTAAAATACAAATACAAGAAATAAATATGAAAGCGTACAAAAAGTCAAATATCACGTATAAAGTCTCACCTTTACCACCATGAACAAGTCGCTGAGAGGGCATGAGAGGCTAAATGCTGCTTGGCTGCATCTAAATAAAAATATTTAAGCGGACCCTTAATGTAAAAATTTTATGTTTCTGTATGGGGCTAGACCAATTACCAGGATTTTAATTTCGTGCAATCTGCTCTAACGCAAAAACTCCCATTATTCAAAACATTACAGAAACCTCACAATATCCACAAATTACGGTGACGAACCACAGCAAAGAAAATGGTAAAAAAAACCATGAAGTTGTAAGTAAAAATATCTTCACGAACCTCTGAGACGGTTCGTCTTGAGGATGCTTCCTATCAAGTAGACGCCGTACTTCATCCGGGTTGACATCGAAGTAGAAATTTTCACTAACTTTCCGCCGCGCCTTAGCGTCATAAATGGCTATTGAGCCGAAAACCGGTTCGAAGTAGGGATCGAGTGTGAGCTGAATTTCACTTTTTCTCCTCTGACTCACATAGCCTAATGCGGCGCATACCTTTGCAACCTTCACAATAAGCTTTTGTCCTACCCGTTCTTCTGGGTATGGTGGAGCACTTCGCTTCTCGATCACAGCAGACTAAAAAAAGAAAATGTTGGCGTCACAGACTAAGGACAAATGGCATGCCTCCGGTTGCAACGGCAGCAAGTTGACCAGACTTGTATGACGACCAGCCTGACGTCGAGCATCACTGAGTTGATCAAGTTGGGTAAAACTTGAGCGCTGAATTACTCCTGCAACGGTGAGCGCTTTCGAGATAATTTTCAAATCCATACAGAATTTTCATAGCAGAAACAAAATGTCGGTGCAAACATGAGGTTGGAATCTGCAGTACAATTTTCGTGGGAAAAAATACACTATTCTCCACACTATTCTCCAGGAAAAAACTGTGATTTACCCCAAGCAAACTCTAGAGCGGTAAAGTGCACATCTATAAGCTATTTGACTGTCTCAATACATATTGCTTTCGTCGGCTGTTCAGTACCCTCGAGGATAAGTTTCAGCAGTTTTTACAATAGGGCCCGAAATAGATAAATTGCGGAAAAGAGTGCACTTCTGATCCGATGGAGTGGAAGCGATCTGTTTACTGTATAGGCTGGTGATGCTAATATTAGATTTTTCCACAACAGCCAACCGCAAAAGTTCTTTTCTGGAAGAAAGCAAGGCGTAAAATATGTGATTCAAAAGTAACCTAACTCACCAGGAATGGTCGGATCCGGCTGGCTTTGATGTAGTCGCGATTCACGCGAGTCTCCTTCACCTGATCCCATCGTACCGGATGACGCTGTGGAGGCGTATGATTGTCGCTTCGATTCCTATAGAATAGTCAATGATCAACAGAGCATGATGTTTCCTTATACGAGATGATTCACAAAAAAACACGGCCACATCGATTATTTTTGAGTTTGTTTTCCCTACAGCCGTAGAATATGATTGGAACTTCGATAACTTTAGTATATGTATAGACACACTACAAGTCGCACCAAAGTGCTTAGAAAAAAACTGAACGACACCCATTAGCATGCGACGCTAGAGAAATTATCGCAGTCATTGTAGTCTAAGATTTCTCTACCTGAGATAAAAATAGTTGAGAGCCTTGTATATAAAGATAAGAACTTAGAACTGCATTTCCACTACATCATTAGTATCATGCACCAGACAGATATTTTAGATATTTCTGGAAACCATAAACAAAAAAGCACTTCATCATGCACTAGTGGTATGGAGTGGTGATGATGATTATGGATCACGATGAAGAGCATCGCGGAAAGGGTAAGCTAAGTGGTTCTTGTATATTAATGTTACTGTTCCAAACAAAGACTCAGTAAGCAACGAAATCTGCAAACTCAACAAAATTAGCGCCTTACGTATGCTTTATAAGTTTGCTAGTTTGCGACAAAAGAATTTCTTTATGAGCGAATCAAAAACGGCCAACAAACATCGGAAAGCCTTTATGCCTAGTATAGATAACATCGGCAAATAAGGGATGGCCAACCATGTAAATTCGGCTACCCACAATGAATGAAATTCATGCAAAATTTAATTGCGTAGATTAAGAAAAACTAAGCGAAAAAAGGATATTGGCAGTGCTAATATATGCATGAAAAATACTGCCTTTCGCTGCAAAGTTCAAAGAAAAAAAGAAGAAACGAGACAAGAACAATATGAAAGCAGCTTCCGCAAGCAGTAGAGTACGAAAGAGCTGATTAACTTTTTTTATATGGAAAAGTGAAACCTTACCTGATCACCAACTACGCTAACGCTTCTAGCTACTCTCTCCGCTCTGCCAGCGTCGGCTTCGAATGTCGGACGTGTAGTGGAACGGACGATGATGGGTCTTTCAATCAACATACGAACATAAGCATCAGCAGAGCCATACTGTTGGTACCTGTAATGACACACGTGATTTTTGAAATTTCACATCACAGTTTAATAGAAAACTTGATCGATTTTTCAGTGGCAAACAAATTACTTCCACATAATGACACTAGTGCCATCGCGACATAGCGTGCAGATTTGAAACTTTGAACATAATGCGAAATAAGGTAAGTCAAGCCAGTAAGTTTTCTCAACAAGCCCAAGTCCGGAGCTCCTTTATAACTCAGATTAGCCACGTTTTAGTAGCGGTAAGAAAACTGATATTATTCATGCAAACACGGAGTTTTGATGGCAATTTTCCTTTGAGTGGAGAATAAACTTGCACTCAATCTATGCCGAATCATACAAAAAAACGTCATTCACCTTACAGGTGGCTCTCAAATAACTAGAAAGTATTGAAGCAAGCTAAACATGAAATACAGATTTAAACTGAGAATAAGCAATACCAAAACGCCACATCAGCAATAGATACAAGAATAACAACGCACCGTCTTTGCACCAGCGAGAATTGATCCGTAAAAGATGCGATAATGTCCCGTATAAATGGCTCAATTTTCAGACTGAAACCAAAAAAAGTAGTTTCGACGAGAAATTTATGGCAAAATATAGTTCTAGAACATACTCTTTCGTTTCTGTCGGCACAGGTGGATCCACTGTAGGCCATTCTCGAGGAACAATTCGTACCTCAACATCATCCGCGGGAAACTCACTAACTCTACAAATGTCGATTAAGTTGACAGCACGACGAGTGTATTTTATTGAAACCTCTTTGCTGCAATAACACAATCACGGAGAAATGTTACCTGGGTGAGAAATCACTAAATACTGACTTTCTTGGACTGGCAGTTGTCGAAGAAATGTCGTATAGTGCGGATGTTCGGCGTTGAGCAAGCGCTTCCTCAATGTCGCATGGATCCACAACATCGAGAAGGCTCAGCTGAATGTGAACAAGATTGTTTGAACGTCGGCTACAACGCCAGACTTATTCGATTAGCCGCTTCATCCATTTCATCCACTAAGATATCGGTCAAATCACTGATCTGACATTCAGCGAAGTGGATGAAGCTGCTAAGCGGACAAGTGTGGAGCTCGTCTTCGGTTACTCAGAAGTAGAAAGAGCATAGACTTCAACCACTATGCGTTTATACCTTCCTGCTCTCTTCTCATAATTCTTGATCGCAACGTCACCAAGCTTGAGGTTGATGAACTTTGAAACAATAGCGGCGTTAAGTCGTTACGGTGAGTATACCCCAGTCTAGTTAAGGGCAGTGTCTCGGCAGACTTTTGTTTTTCAGATTTTCACCTTTTTCGGAACCTTCTCGCCATAAGGAACCCATATCTGGGCCTTTCGGCGCATGAAAATGGCGAAAATGAGCTCGTAGCTTTCCCGGTCCGCATTCAGTGGAGAACTGGGCGGGGCGTGGAACGAGGGTGGCGTACTGCGGTTTTTCCCGCGTATCTACTGAATGCGGGCCTGGGAGGCTTGGAAAAAGCTTATTTTTGCCATTTTCATGAGCTAAAAAGCCCTGATATGGATTCCTCATGGCGAGAAGGCCCCAAAAGGGTGAAAATTGGAAAATTCTGCCGAGACACTGCTTGTAAGGCTGGTTTATACTGACCGTAAGTTCCGGAACAGTTCTAGCACAGCGCTCAAATGTGCGCTGTGACTGGAACTGTTCCGGAACTTACAAACAGTATCAACCCAGCCTAAGAGGTGAACTGCAGCGAGAACGGCCCCAATAAGTAGACGCGACAGCGTTCGCGTGCCCATCAACACGGGTAAACGGAGATAGTAAGTCCAAAAACTAGGCACCAATATGCCTAGAACAGCGGAAACCAGTTTCTCGTCATGATAATAAAATGCTCGACATTCTAGGTGTTTTGCATCCCAATTTTGAACCCACTATCTCCAGAACACCCAGTTGGTGGACGATGTGATTTATACCGCATCTACCCAAAGCGATACTTCGCTTCCGAGTGCACCTTTTGCAGCAGAACATGGGCAGTTCAATCCCGCTACTGCACCTCAAGTTCACCACCCTCAAATCTGGGTGAAAAGTGTCTTCAAGCCTCAGCAGCTATAATCCAGCAGACAAACCACTCTTCACATAGCTGCAATTCCAGAACATCCTGCGACAACAAGGTCCCCAAAAAGTCAAGCACAACCTCTCAAGCAATACGCTGACATGAACATACCGTGCGTGCTGTGCATTCTCATAATCTTTGTGACATAACGATGAAGGTAAGCAATAGAAAAAGTGGTGCGACATTGCGTATTTTTTAATTCTCCGCATGAGAACGAGAATGGGACTGTATGAAAGCCTTTAATCCCCTCGTCAACCCCCACTTAGGCCCGAATGCACTAACATCCCTGCGGCGAGGGGAGCGACGTCCCCAATGATGTAAAAGTCGTAGCGGCGTGCGCACGCGACCCCTTCATAATGGGGGATGCCGCTCCCCTCGCCGCAGGGATGTTAGTGCATACGGCCCTTAAAACTACTTCGACGAAGCTAGGGGAAAGTGTTTAGTAACATCACGCCATCACGTATACAAACTACTGCTAAAATTGCCCTCGTAACAGCTTTCACACCAAATCCTGATGCGTTGCAAACCCCACCACGGACTCATTTCTGATTTATGGCCATACGATGACAGAAAGCTGTGTAAGCCATCCCATGCTTCGTGCGTAGAACCCACTTTTACGAGGTAGTACAGCGCACTACTGACTACCCGCTGCAGAGTAGAAACCTTTCTCACCGTTTGTTGGGTGGAACCATCAGGTAATGTCATGTCGAATGAAGCCGGATGTAACATCATCAAGCTGCCCGTCATCACATGTTTCCGTACATCTGCCGCCGTCATTCTGAAACATAGAATAGTAGTGGGAGTCTTCGTAGTAAACTCACAAGCTGCTGTTTTGCTTGCTGTAGGCGTGCTACGGCTTATATAGTTTATAAACATCATTCCTTTTCCAGAAGAAAACAGATTATGCTTTTTGCAAATTTCACACCCTGGAATATCCCGCGCCACAATGACAAACATCGCCGTAGCAAAAAATAGTATCAAAAATACACATGCATGTTCTGAATTTTTGCTTTTTATAATTAGGTGCACTACGAGTGTATTAAAAATAGAATAATATAAATTAAAATAGAATGCACAGATTATTTTTCTATAAAAACTTATTCAGAAAGGAAACCTAAAGAATTCCATCAAATATTTCGAAGTCTTAAATCAGTTCAATAAGTTCGCATTAGTTTCCTTTAATGTTCCAACAGTCCTCACCTACCCTTTAATAGGGTCTGCATGTTTTTAGCTTGTGCATACACCTTTCTTGAGTTTCTGTAACTTGTTGAACGGTCTGTAGAAACCTAGCAAACACGTAAACCGGTTCTATGACAAAAATGCAGGGTCGCTTTGTTTGGAAGGGAAACAGAGTTCACAAAAGCGAGACTATAAAAATTCAAGCACTCACTAATTCTGTACTTTTTTTTTGTAAATCTGGGAGCATTGAACATCTCATACCCACCAAAAAAAAAAGACATTTGGGTAGTTCGGTGATTGTGGAAAGGTTTCCTTTATGAATCATAGAATCAAAAGAAAGAATTTCTGACAATTCTACGCGATAGAAAATTCTCCCGAAACTACTTACCAAGCGATATTTCATGCGAAAATTGAGATTTATATGCCGCGGTTGTAAACGTGACAGATATGCACTAGAACGATGATTGCGAAACATGATATAGTCATAGTTATGCTTTGAATTATGGCTATTTATTTTTATATAAACTACTGTATTAGTTTCCTCTGCACATACCAAAACCCATGCCTGTGTAAACCGTCAGTCTGCTCCCGCTTGTCAAAAGTGTTCGCCATTTTTCACCCCTCGCTAAGGGTTCGTCACTAGCAAAAGTTAAGTGGGTGAACTTTTTGGAACGCCAGTGGTCTGAACTGCCTTTGACGGGTTTATCCAAAAGGACAACACTGAGTGCACGAAAAGATGTTTGGCTTCCGCTATCTATAATCTTCTCAAGTGCTTAGCAAAGGCTTTATCAATATAATTAACCGGAGTAGTCTTTGTAAACAACTTTTTTCTTCCACCTTCTTACCGATAGTATTGAAAAAGTAAAGGTCGAAACGGATTATGCCAGAACATTGTTTAAGGAATTATACATGCGAAAACAAGGTAAGTAAAACTATCAGTGGCAAAAATAATCCTATATGAGCAAATCACATATAGGGTACATCTATCCCAAAATTCATCCACAATCAGCTCAACCCGCTGGTTGCGATATGCAGAGTTGCCGCCTTAGATATCGGAGGCAAAACGCCTCTTTACAAAACAAAAAAAGATAAAAACAAGATGCTCGATCTATACCACGAGAAGATTAGAAAAAGAATAAATGATAAAGCATAAAATAACTGTAATGAACTCACTTGTTCCGCTTTCCAGCGAAAGCCCGCTGACTAGGCGTTGAGACGAGTGATGTCATCTCTCAACTATAGTATTTTGTACACTGTGTAAGGTGTCACATCCGCATCTGTAAGCCTGAATGAAGAGTTAGGATAAGAAGACAGAGGAGAAAAGATAGGCGTGGCTCAGGTAAGTATCATTCGAGAGACTTTGTCAGGTCAGACAAGCTTTCCGGAAGGGGTTTCCAGTAACGACAAGGTAAAAAATGAAGCAAACTGAAAGCATGGATGGAGAGCTCTGAAGGATAAAAAGGTTAATCAAAGATGGAGGACATCCAAACGAAAGATTAGCAATCTAGAGCAATTTATGCATTGCGATTTGATTATAATCTATCGCCGGCTTTTTTTCGGACAGCTAATGCTCGCGGCATTGGAACTTGCAGATAAACACTCGCTCTTTACGCTGGTTATGAGCAAACAATAAGAGCTTACGTAGATAAGCCTCGCTGAAATAGTTGTAGAGTAAGAACAAAAGTACTAGTAGTGTGGTGCCAAGCACTGGGGTTAAAAAAAGCAAGAAAAATCGATTTGCATTCTAGCGCTGTATGTGTGTGATGGGCCCATTGGAGGTAACAACCTAGTCTTTACACAGACCGCTAGAAAACAGCTGGTGGTGAATGGATGCGATAGCCGCTTGCCGAACGTAGTACGATGGTGGATGGATGGATCGAGTGTGAAGAAATGAGAGCCGGAAGAGCGTGTGCCGAGCGAAATCGAACGCTACTTGAAAGGAATGGAACCGGAAAGGGTGGCAAAATCAAATCAAATCATTGCGCTGCCGGTGAGAAGTGTGTGGGAATGATTTGATTCGAACGAGAATGAGTGAAAAACAAGGCCGTAAAAAAATCCCGTTAATTAAGCGAAGAGGAACAAAATATATTTTATCCAGGCAGAATTTTCTCGACATTTTATAAGCGCGGATATCCTCCACTTCTAATCAGTTAAAACTGTAAATCTGGCAAGAAAAAAACAAAACAAAATGTCCCTTGTCTCCCTCCCGCCAACCTTCCGATCTCTCCCCAACCTCCGAAAACATAATTAAACCACCCTTAATCTCTACTCAACGGGTCCTCTGAGGGTAGCGATAATGATGTCCCTGGTGTACGTGTTAGCACCGTGGCGCTGCTGTCCACACATCCACAAGTATCGATACCTCAAACTGCTGAAGCAGAATGCACTAGCAAAGTGCGAATTCTTCACTTTTTGCATCACACAAGAAATTGATAAAAGAATCGTTACACTGCATCTAAAACTCGATAATTTGCTAATTGAGATAACATTTACTCACTGATGAGATAGAAAATTTCCAAGTCCGCGGAAGATTTCTGCAGCGCTCCCGCTGGAATGAGCGGCAGATATAGTTATCAAAACCACATATCAAGATGACCTTTGCAAAAAAAGATAGCTTTGATTGGGCTGTCATTACAGCGCAGTGGGCACTTCGCCCCGAGATTTTCCACATTTGAGAGATACAGCAATGACATCATGTGACAGCTTTAACAAAAAGAAGCAAAGCGGAAAGATGTGCGACATGACACTTGCTCATGGCACTTGGCAAATTAGAGCTGGTGCTAGCAGCTGGATTAATAGTGATTTGAATATATAAGATGCACGACAGAAATTTCTACGAGCCATTGAGACCTGAAGAGAGATCGAGAACAAGGTATTTTGAACGCTGGTGAGTGATTCGCGCCATTTCCAGCTCATAACACAGAGTTTGTTTCGACCACACGCACAGCAGCACAATGGTGTGGAGCGATGGGCGCGAGATAATGACATGTCATTGGTACCATTTGGAACAACCAAAAAATTTACGCAACGAAGTCCAAAAATATCTAGCAAAGCATAGATATATTCAAAATGATTGTGCGAAGTTTCTTTTTTATATAGTTCGAATGGCAAGCGATGAACGAAAAGAGTTGAGCAGATTCAAAAGGCCTAATTGCGATATGCATACTTTTGGATTAGGAAGAAAGTAGTGAAAAAACCATGCGTGCTATTCAATCAAGCAGGAAACACTTCAATTGTAGAGATTATCATCAAAAAAGAAAGAAGAAAAACTAACACGATCCTCACATTTTCCAAATCGAGCTCACCTCACTTTTTCCAATACGAGATGGCACATCGTTAATTAAAACATTGCAACAGCTGCAACACAGGGCTTATAAAATACGCTCGTACTTTCGCTCCAAACCATTAGTTCATCAAGAACCTAATTCACTGAGGAAACCATTAGCTTCGTAGACACACCAAAAAGTGATGCACACAAATAGTCACATCAAATAAGCACTAACATCCATGTAAACCGCAATTTCGCTAAACAATCAACGAACGCATGCTTAATTATTCTTTGAAAAAAAATGGAAAAGAAGTGGACTTAGCTTGCAGAGTAGGGAAATTTTATCATTCAATCGAGTCAGCTAAATGCTGGGTAAAAAAACACTCTATTGTTAAGATACATAACTAGATTTATAAAAATTTAAATAATTGGAAAAAATTTAAAATTTAGAAAAGTTAGATGATAATTGGCTCAAAAATTGGTTCGTATTAAAGAATACATATCGAAGTGGCACATTCTAGCAAAACACGAACCAGTAGCGATTCCAGAATTTTTACAGGGACCGATGAAGTGCGACAGAGATTTTTTGCGGATGAATCTCTTATTAAATGCTTTCCAAATTTCAAAGTGCTGTAACTTTGAAGCTGAAAAAAGGGAAGAGGAGGTAGCCATGGTATCCAAATTTCATATAGCTAGTTTGAATTTCACCTAGTTATAACATTATTCAAGTCACAATGTGAAAATTTCCAAACTGTGCGATTCAATATCCACAGTCCTCGTTAGCTAATAGTATGTCCATTCACTGAGATATGAAAGCGAATTTCTATGACGGGACCATCCAGCTCAGAGAAAAAAGCGACAGAATGTCAGGGTTCCTTCATACTACGCCCTTAGACTTAGGCTAAGGAGGCAGCCTGCGGCGCAGAATGAAGGAAGTCTCGTTAGAAGACGATCTATTCAAGCATAAAGAAGATACAATAGTTAAAAGAACATACATAGTTAATAATTGTACATATCTGGCAACCATAACATATCTATGTCCCAAAAAATTCTAGTAACAATGCTAGGTAAGTGTATGCAGCATCGACCATACATAAATAATGATTCGAAGCCAAGGCTACCTCGATTGAGACTATTAGCCATTACCCATTTTACGCATATATAGAACCTAAGGACAACGCATACCGATGAGCATATATAGCACAAATAGTTAATTATGCATGTAATAAAGAAATAAAAAATTAGAAGGGTAGCGAGCGATGTCACGCAAACAATCAGATGGTGTTTCTACTGAATCAGACAGGATGCCACCGCAATTTGTCACTAACGATGATTGGATCAAACATGGCGCTATTTCAAGCGCTGGCAGACGCAGGTGCAAAGAATGGAGATAAACACGAATTACACATCTGACATATTACAAAGTGGGCGTAAATAAATTGAAGTAGTGGAAGACTTCCATGCGGGAGTAGTCGAGAATGCCAGAGGCAAAAGAAGCCCGAAGAAGCTAATAGGTGCGTGCGTGTGTGTAAACAAAAGGAAGATGCAACTAAACTAACTACAAGTCCCACGATGGCAGCTAAAAATAGCGTCATTATAGCAAATCCTGAAATCTTGTTTTGTTTATATGTGAGTGGAACTGTGTATGAGTGGGTAAACACAAAGAAGAAGCACTGAAACATCGTAGAGAAGCACTCAAGCAAGTTTTCAGAAGTTTTTATGGTTACGAGAAAACAACATGTTGTTTTCTGGTGGGGAATGAGAGTGGACGCACGGACGGCCAGAATAGCATCCCCGCAGGATGGATGGGAATGACTTTCGGTCACATAAGACTTGACAGATCGGAAGCAAAGAGGAGGTGAATATGAGTGATGAAAACATTTGTGGTTACGAAGGGGGGAGGGGGGAGTTGTTGTTCCTAATGAATTTCTAGATGTGGAACAACATCAACGGCCATAGAGGGGGACTGTTGTGCCGAAAATATTGCAAAATAGAGAGTTCGATGAGGCTTCTGTCAGAAATGGGATCTTAAAATAATCCACAGGAATATAGCAAAGATTGGACTCGCTTCATAGAAAAGTGAACAAAGATACGAGAATAATTTATTTCATATAATGCGTTATCAAAACGCAGTGCTCGCGATATTGTTAAAAGAGAAAATGAAGATTTCGACAAGTTTTGAAGGGAGCACCCGGCTATAAACATCAAAAAGGAAAAAGTATTTTGAAATTTTAACAAGGGTTCTTTGAGGCAGTAGAACCGGAAATGGAGGGAAAGTGTGCTCGTGAAACGCAGAGCACTTGACAAGGAATGTTCTCTGGTGAAGAAATTGCGGGCACCCTGACAAAAAATTCTCGGAGAAGGAGTCTTGCCTGGAAAGGAGGAACTGATGTACATATGTGAAATAAGTTGAATAGTCAATATAACGATTTTGAATGTGACTGCATCGAGAGAATCATACTTAATGTGAGAAAATGAAAGTTAATGACTACGAGGAGGAAAGTACGCATAAAAAACTGTTCTGAGTTCGAAAATAGGTACGGAGATTCCTGGTAGGGTTGCCATACACCTCAACATAAAGTGGATGAATAAGAGCTCCAGAAAAATGTAATCGATCATTCTCTGCAGCAGAAATTCTAACAGAGATAGAAACGAAGATGGGCTTTCAAGACGAAATATATGCACACATCGAAATTTGAGAAACATACATTTGCACGAAGCTAGAGCAGTGGTTGCATGCAATAGCCATGCACGAAAAGCTAACAAAATCTTGCAAAAAGACCAAATGATGAATATATAACTAAAACAAACAGATACTGTATTGAATAACCAAATATGGAAGTGAAAATGGTAAAAACAGCAAGGCAAACCAAAATTCATATAGGACAGCTCTAAAAGAGATCAGAAAGAAAGGAAAAATGAAAAAGCCTCATGAAGACCAGAAAATGAAAATGCACAAACTAGAATATCACTTTTGGGATTGTTGCGACTAATATTTGAATCACGAGAAGAGAAACTATCTGATGAGCAAAAGAAGTCAAAACCTGCAACAAAATGAGGAAACTCCAGAACCCTACTGCATGATGATGTGATCCAGAACATTGCTCGCACGAG